TAGATTTTTCATCCCTGTCACCCTTGTGAATTTTGAATGTGTTGTGTCAAGCATAACAAGAAAAAAAACAAAGTCTCTAAATGTGGAGCCATTTGCATTTTTCATTCATGCTGCCATATACAGCTGCTTGATGCAAAAGGTTATGGAACTCACTACATTATTCTCCACAGAGGCAAATCTATCTAATATGACAGTTTAATCCTCTCAGAGAACTATTCAGTTAGACCAAAGAATAGACTTAGAGCATTCAAAGTTTCTTTATGCTCTGATTCAGAGAGCTGATTACTGAGACACCTAATCTGTAAAATGTTACTCAAGACGCATTAATGCAATTGTTTAAGCAAAGCATTAAATTTGCTGTCTAAACCTACAACAGATACTACTACAGATCATGAAGAAATATTTTATTTGACATAAAAAAAATGACTGTGAGACAGCAGGTGTTTCATAATAAACTCTATAAATTTAATGGTCAAAGTCAAAATGGATCGGTGTCTGACCCTGTTTCTCTCTAGTGAGACTACAGTGTACGAATGGCAGAATTAAAGAAAAAAAAAAAGGACAATGCAGCGTTCTTTTGACCGCATCATTTCAAAAACTATAAAGACCGGTAAAGAGAATTTTTCAAGCGTTTTTTTATTCCCAGTTCTCAGCATGGACACACAGCAAAGCCTTTTTATTGAGCCTCTGTTGACTGACTATAAAGAAGAGGCACTTGGCTGGATCCTGAAATTTTGCCATAATACCTCCTTCTCAATGGTACCGTAGGGTTTAACAAGAAAGAATGGAGTGAGTGACTCTTGCTGAAATCCTTATTTAGTTTTATGTACCAGTCCTGAAGAGATGCTATTGTGATCCTTTGTGCTATAATACTGTACACAGTGGAAATGTATACAGAAGCCCATTCTAGATGTCAACATAATGACGCACTCACCCCCAAAAAAGAAACGGTGGAGGGTATGGTATTGACGTGTGCTGTTAGACCATCAGACAGGCACCTACAGCCTAATTGTTGAAGTGGTGAGTGTGTGACTGCATATCTGTTACTGCTCTCTTAGTCTTTTACCATTCACTGCTCCTCTCAACTTTCATGGACAACTAGCACTATGAACAGAGAAATATCACCTATCTCTGCTCAAAACTCTGCTCTTTTCTTGTAATTTTTAGACAAAATGCACTGTTAGAAAATAAATAAATAAATACTGATAGAATACATGGCAGAGTGTACAACTTGCTTTTCGTTAGTGTTGGTACTCTATCCGAGGACACGAACTAGACGCCATTCATTTAGAAATCATTTAAAGAAATTGTTAATTAGCAGTCAGCTCTGACAGCGCTACAATTCTGTCACTCGTTGCTGTCATCAGACACTCTGTCCTTGTGTACCTGCCTGCTTGCTTTTATCGTGCCAGAGTGATTTATGTTTCTTTATGTGTGGGTAGCTTTGTCAGACTGTTTATTGCTTTTGCTTTGCATGCTTCAGTTTGTGCCCAATAATGTAGCACAATGTTGTTTTTTTATGCGTATTTCTATTAACATTTTATCTATTGCATGTTTTTAATTAGTATCTGTAATGTAGCAAACACAATGCTGCATAGAAATGGAATGAGCTACAAAAAATATGAAGTTACATTCTCTTATTTCACTGGAAGATTTTAAAAGGTTATACTTATGTATTTATACATCACACTTGTGCATGCTTTTCTTAAATGTGAAAAAGCATAACATATGTCTGTATCATCTGTGTGTCTATTTTTAATGCCTGTGAATTTCTGTGTGTCTGTCAATGTATAAACTGTATGTGTTTATTTTAGTACACAGGTCTCCCCATCTCAATGAGACCACTTGTTTAAATAAAGGATTTAACAATAATATAGTGTATATAAGTATTAAGTGTTAAACTATGTATCAGAGACTACAGATGAAAAATAGTCTTTGGCTGGCTCTAGTGCATTTACAGCAAGGTTTATTATTGTGCTCTGTCCTTACTAAATAAACCAAGAAATAAATTTTAGAAATCTTACGTGGTGTCACTGTAACTTCAAAGCAGTCTGGCAGGCCGACAATGCCATAAATCCTTTGACACTTAATGTAAAAAATCACTGCAAGGGTCTGACAATCAAAATAGGTATAAGAAGGTGAATATTACTAAAAATATTATTCAAGGCTTTAAACCTTCCTCACAAGTCCACACATAGTGCTATGAGCACAGAGAAGGAAGAGAGACAGAGGGAAAGCAGCATAAATTATCCACATTAAAGCCACAGGTGTAGGAGGGGGGCCTTTGTTGCCTTGCTTAACATCTGCCTACCAACTTCCAAATGGCCTCTCTCATGGTTGGTCAAGGTATTTAATTATCACCTAATGATTAAGAATGGGTTATTACAATGCCTGTGAGGGAAGTCCAGCAGAACCTATACGCACCAGCACATGTGAACTGCACTTAAAAGATCTATATCAATAGTGGTAATATAGGGACAAATTTACATGTAGACATGTAAGTCTACTTTTATGAAGGCACACTTGCAGCATATTAATGGATGCTAATGTAAAAATAAGAATATCATTTTACTGTTGAAAAATATGGAAACTTTCTCAATTCAAAATTTTGTTACAAAAGATTTCTCAGATTCTCACTGTGTTCTGGATTGATTTAGTGTATATGAATAAATGAACATGTGTTAGTGCATATGAACATATGCTGCATTAATCAAGTAAATCTTGTACATTAATGTGCTAACTGCAACCAGTAACAGCAGAGAATCACAACACTCACTTAGCCTAAGATGTTCTAGTTATTGTTGTGAGCATATTTAATAACAAACAAAAACTCCGCCATAATGCACTATACAATACACACATATGTTTCCACTGCAGTACTGCAGACCATTGTCTGAATACCTTAATTCTCTCTGTCTCTCTTGCCCGCTGCCCTCCTTGTTTCACCCTCTGCTTTCATGAGTGTGTTAGTCTGAACCTATAGACAAATTTTAACAAAACACATTCAGGGGTTGTAAATAATGGAGGGAAGAGATAAAAGCTTTGTGGGAAGGGCTACAAAGCCAATCTGCTCTATCTCCTTTGTCTCACTGTAGTATACCAGCTCAACTATGCACTTCATTAGGCTTCATGAATTACACGGATACTCAGATTTTCTGTGATAAATAATGTTATCATTGAATAGAACTATATTGTTTGTGTACACACACACATTATATATACATTCCTGAGTGAAAATGTACAGTATATAATAGGCTATGCATATTTATTCCTGGAAGTACTCCTCACTCACACCTCTCTTTTGGCTGTATTTGGTTTGATACCCTCATAGGTATCAAACCCTCATAGGTTTCATATGTAGGAAGGGAGCAGCTGCAGATGAAAAATATTTTAAGGACAATAAAAAAAGTGAAAAATCATCTACGTTCTCAATGGCAAGAGAAAACAGTAATTCAATCAAAATCATATGAGAAACAAGTCTTCGCAGTTTGCTATTCCCAAGTATTTTTGGCTACAGTGCATTCATCAGAGAAAACAATGGACAGTAGCTGCTTCCATTCCACCATCTGTCCTGCCAGATTTGTGAAAGAGATTACTAATACAGACGCATTCTTGAAAAGAAGCAGAACTGGGAAGGCTTAAAAATGTTTTCCACTATTGATCTTACCTGTCTAAAAATATAACTGGACAGGAAACTCAATAATTTACTCCAAATCAGGGACACAACTTCATCACAATTTCAACAAATCTAAAACTTTTCTACATCCATCTCTATCAAAGAAACCAATCATAATCTTAAAAATGATAAAATTAACTCCTAGGCCACTATTTCTTAGTAGATTTTTGGCTCCTCTCTTCTAAAACATTTTAGAATGTATTTCCTAATCTTGCTGCTCTAGTCAGATAAAGTGCCAGTCCAAGCCCCGCATCTTTTCTTCACCCAAATTCTGAAACAATCTACCCAATTAACCCTGAGTGTCTAAAAACCCTTTCCAGGCATACTTCCGTATCATCTGTACCTTGTAACAGACCATGACATGACCTGATTCATGGATTTGGCCTCAAAAGCAGAGGCATCAACAATTTCTAGACATAAGAAAAGACAAATTCTCTCTTTATAGTTGTTTAGTAGTAGCCATGTTTTAAAGGGGCTGTAAGTTTCCTCTGCCACTGAATGTGGTTTCTTGCTGGGAGTGGGTGGTGGTAATTGCCCTCTGAGCAGCACCACTTCTTCAGGGCAGATTGGAGGCTGCAGTGAGTCGCTATCGGAAAGTGACGAAATGGGCCGAGATGGACCGGGGCTTGCTGGTTAGCATGCTAACTTCAGTAGAAGAAAATAAGTGATAAAGACAAGAGTTAACATTGGCATTGGTTTCCTCCACTGGAGACAGCTCTTGTAGAGTAAAGGAATGAAGTTTGATGCTGAACTCACAACATTTCTTCTAGACTGGTATGTGAACAGCTGTTCAACGCTGGCTATAGCAATAGCAAAACTTACAAATAGCTCCTTTAAAACATGGCTGTCCAGTCACTCCATTTAAAACTGCTCAATGGCGCAAGTTCCCATAATGCCCATAATACTCCTGTATCACACAAAAACTGACTATTCTTCCAAAAATACTGTACTTATTCAAACACACACGAATGTTGCACATTCTAGTATCTATCTATCTATCTATCTATCTATCTATCTATCTATCTATCTATCTATCTATCTATCTATCTATCGTCTGTTCAGTTTCGCTGTGTAGCGGCACAATGTAAAATTAAGCTCCATTCACCAGCAGCACATTCGACAGCGATGAAACCACTGGCTGGAATACGACACTAATGCAACATCTAACACAGCTCATATTTCGGAATAAATTCTTAAAATTGAAAAAATATGATATAACTTTGTGAAAATAAACATTTAACATAGTGCCATAGTTTTAAAGAAAGTGTCGTAACTGCGGGCCGGAAACGCAGCTGCATGTACTTAGTTTCCAACATGGCGGCTGTTGGCACGTAGAATCTTGTTTTTGAGGATAACATAGCGGATTATCGTAACATTTGGGCCACCGGCAAGCAGTTTGGTACTCTAAACCACCACTGTGCTGTTATTACTACTCTGTCTTGCAAGCCATTTTAACTGGGAGATGTATCGACGCGGAGCTGCAAAGAAAGACCACAACAACAAACCTGTGAAGAAGGATGTGAGTGACAGTGATAAATACGCCGACCTTTTGGTGTTCGGCTATGCCTGCAAACTGTTCCGAGACGACGAAAGGGCTCTTTACCACGAACATGGAAAACATCTTATCCCATGGATGGGGGACAAGAGCATCATGATTGATAGGTCGGTTGAACAAACTTAGACCGAAACATTATGCTAACCATCTATCCTGTCCGTTAGCTTGTTTCAAAATGCAAGGGACCACTTGGGAGTTTGTCTTGCAGAAGCTTGGAAATACGTGCAACTGTCGACGAATGTTTTATTTCTTGCTTGCTAACTTGTCTTTGGACGTCCTGAAATGACAACAAATGGTATTTGAAGTTTTTAGAATAACATGCAAAGATGCAAATCTTAGCCAATCTCTGCTAACGTTAGCCATGATGTTGAACTATCAATATGGCCCTCAGTTGCCAATTCATTAGGCACACTATCCTAAAGCTAATGCAGTTGAATACAACAACACTGATACCAATTTTGAACAAAAACTAAACATTGCAACATTCATGAAGATATGATTCATTGTAGAGCTGCTGTAATAAACTGCATAAGTCTAAGCTAGGCACCTCCTTAACTGGCAACTGATATTTAAATTTCCCTTAGGTCAACATAGGTTAGCTTTGAGGTGGACTTTGCATCTTGGTATGTTGGGAGAATTTCCTCTGGAGACTTTCACTCCACGCACACTTTGTAGTTCACAAATATGGAAGTAAAAATGGGAGTATGACACAGAAGATGATTTATTCTCTCTGTCCTTTTCCAATTGAGTTTTGCTTAAAATACCAGTGTGTACACAAAGCAAATGACCTGGGGATTTTATTGTGCTGTGCTGATATCCACAAGGCCAGAGCAAATTCTAACCAAGACTAAAGTTACTGCAGTTAAGGTTATTCAAAATATCACAATGACATTGTAAAACTCAGGTTTGACTAAATAACAAAAAATGTTTAAAGGTGATTTGAATAGATGTAGTACTGTAGGACTCACATCAAGGTCTACTACTGCACTGAAGCTTTAATGATGTCTCTCACTTGTAAGTCGCTTTGGATAAAAGCGTTTGCCAAATGAGTAAATGTAAATGATTTCAACCTTTCTGCAAAACATTGCTGCAGGTGATGGAGTAACATTTTAATGCCACCTCCACATAGAACACGTAATAAATTACTCCTTAAAATAGTGCATTTGTCCTTTTGAATCACCTTCATCTGCAGTGGCCCAACTTGTGTTTAATTTGTACAGCTTTTGTATGTGTGTCTTTATCACATAACCCAGTTTTTTCCCCAGCAAGGTAGGCTAAGGGGTCCTGCCAAAACCCCGAATGCCAACCACAGCACCCCATTTCTTTGTCTTCATGAAGAAACTGCAACTGAGAAGTGGCGTAGAGGGACGAACCCTGGAAAATGTCGTCCATTTGGGTTCTTACGGATAGGTATTTATGTGCTCGGGTTTGTGTGAATGTAACTATCTTTGCAGATGTAGAAGTAATGATGAGTGTTACAGGGGGGAATTGAACCCTGTAAGGTAAGAGGCGAGTTGCTTTGTTTGTTTTTCTTTCTTTTTTTCTTTTGATGTAGGGTTGTTGGTTTGTAAGACTTGTTCAGGAATGAAATAGCAGCAGAAAGCTTGCTAGGTATCTTAAGAGCACCATTGACAATTAAGCCCAATGACTTGATTAGGAGATTATTGTGTTGTCTATATTTCGAGAAATTTTCACAACTCCTAGTATGTAATCCCTCATGAGAGACTAGAGGTAGAGCATTTTTGATGTTTTAAATGTTGGGTTTTAGGTCCCCTTTCCTTGGTAAGTAGGTCCATGTTGTGAACAAAAAGCTTTGTCAAATTCCTTCTGTCTAATCCTTTTTATCATTCAACAGATACGATGGGCGCGGTCACTTACATGACCTTTCAGAGTATGACAGCGGGTCATGGAATACATCGTACCAGCTGTCGGAGGAAGAGGCCAGGATTGAGGCACTGTGTGATGAAGAGAGGTACCTGGCTCTGCACACTGACCTGCTGGAAGAAGAGGCTAGACAAGGTAGGCACGGTGCCCGTTCTGACACTGGGCAATCAGAATATTTAAAATCGAATTTAACACACACACATATGGCACATCTAAATGTGAATCTACCCATAGTGGGTCATACAGAAGGATATTAAACTAAACATTTACTTTTAATTTCTTGAGTCATAGTCTGTCACACTTAGTGAAGGCAAGCACCTAGCCAGCAGAGGATGTAGTAGTCTTATTGAAATTATTGTCATCTTTCACCTATCATCTTATGACGTGATGGTGTAATGAGGCACAGCAAATTTATGACCAACTATAAAAACACATTGCAACATGGGATGAGTTTGTTACTCACGTACATACTGTGGTTGTGTAACGTTCGTAAGAGTTAGAGAGAGAGGAATCAACGTTTTAACACAAGCAATTGCTGTTGTGTATATACAAAATTTTTAAATAATATTTATTAGTACAATTTATTATTGTTGTTTTATTGGCATATACTGCCTTCTTACTGGTATAATGACACGTAAAAGTTGGCCTGACACTTGGGTTCAACTAACAGATATTAATTCCCATCAGCAGCAGTTCTAACTGTTGTATTTCACTGGTATACACTGGTCCTTCCTTCCAGGCAGCTGTCACTTTGTGGTAGCCAAAGTTGTCGAACTGAAATCCTTCCAAAAGTTTGACACTTTGTAGGGTTATTACTGCCTTTTTTTTTACTGATGTCTAATCACACTAATTACTTGAATTTCTCAAGTCATCGTTTCAGTCCTTGTCAGTGATGTCTTGCTGTTTGAGAGTGACAATGTTCACTCTCTTCTCAGGCTGTCAGTGTTTGAATTTGTGTCCAGATCTTTTTTAATCTCAGGCCTCTGTCCTCTTTTAACACTTGAGCTAATTTGACAAGTCTGTCTGTATAAATAGAAGAGCGGCAACTCTTACTGTTGCTATGTACTTTAATCTTGGCTTCTTAACACAATCTGATTTTCCAGAGTGTCATCTCCTTTTAAGGCATGTTCAGCTTTCTGTCTCTTTAAAAAAGGACTGGCTTTGACTCTGAGCTCAAGAGCTGCCATTTCTATGGAAATCACTTTCGACTCATCTAGGATTCTTGCATCTCAGTCATTTTACAGTGTAATGAAACAGGCTGTTTTGATGACAAAGCACCCATCTGAAAGACAGACTCAATGACTGTAATTGAATTAATAAGCCACAGTTTTAAGTGAAATATGGTGTCTTATGCCTAAACTGACAGGACGGAATGAGTCAGGTAATGATATGTGTCACACACACGCTCACATACTCACTGCAGAAGGTTCATCCCCCAGGCTGGTTTGCCCTTGAATTTGGAGGCCTGACCCCATTCACTCAGGCTATTACCCATCTGTCCAGTGAAGGGACAGCAGGAAAGCATTAGAAATATTGATTGTGTTAGTGGGAATTTTGCCCTTGCTTCTTTAATAAAGATATAGTTTGCCATGAATTTCAATAGAATTGCTAGTGTATGGGGCCAAGTAGCTATGTACATTTGTCTAGCACCCTGTAAGTACTTTTTTTTCTTTCTTTTTTTTTCTGTTTATCAATTTTAAAGCTTCTAACATGACAGACAATACCAGTAATTTAGGATAGAATCTGTCAGTCACTTGCACTCATAAATGTTTGTAAAATTATTATTATTATTATTAATATGTAATAACTATCATCGGTTTTTATTAGTTATTATTAGAGTATTATTCTAAATCTGACCATATAGATGCCAATAAAACATTTGCCACTGCCAGTTTCTAATACACAACCATTCAAGAATTTTGCCGTTATGAAATGCTAAATATCAGAATGATCAAATAGCACATGCTCATAAAATGATGATCAAGTAAATTATTCTCTGTTTTGTGTTTTCTTGTTTTCCACAGAGGAGGAGTACAAACGTCTGAGTGAGGCTCTGGCTGATGAAGGCTCCTACACTGCAGTGGCCTTTAAATACAGTGCTGACTACTATGACCCCTCTCAGCCCACGGAGGAGGAGGATGCTAACAAGGAATCTGGTTAGAATTCACATCACTCACTAACTCACGTGGAGTTAGTCACACTCACATAGCTGTGGAATTGGTCAGTCTGTTGGACGTACTTGAAAATACACATACAGGATAGCAAAACACACAGCACAATTTTAAATTAAGTGCTAACACTGCAAAGAACAGGAACTTGTGGAATAGTGCTTCATAAATCCAGTGAAGTCTCTCTCTGTTCTCCTATACTCATTGTACATTGTGGCACTAACGTGTTTCCTGTAGGCGACCGCACATCTTACTGTACTTCTGCTTTTTCAAAGTGATCACATTATAGAGTGCATTTAAATACTGCATGAAAATCTGGAATCAGTCGCCTTCTCTAATGATCCCACTACATTGCTGCGAAGAAGACCCTTCTCTATGCCAGCTTTGCTTGTTTACACAGAACTGAAACATGACATAAGGGTGAAGTGGAATAACGGCACAACATTCCCGCCTTGAACAGGCTGCATAAAAGAGGCTATTGACATATGCCCTCTGTCTATGAGACGTTGCTTGTGGTGGGCTCTGTGCTGTGTCTAAGTTTTTAGCTGCTTGACTTAGTATTTGAATTTTTGGCTGCTGCAGTCTGGTGTGACGAACACAGCAGCTCTGTCTAATCCATTTCTTCTTTTTTAAACTATTCTAATCCAGGCAACCATCTGCAGACTAACACCCTCCAGGGGTTGCTAAAGTTGAATTTCTTCCTGCAAAACACATATTGAACATGTCGAACGTATTTGGATTTTTATATTTAATTGAATATAACACAGTAATATCATGCCATTTAAATTTGTCATGACAGTAACAACAACTCCCTATTACACCCAACGGATGTTAGCACAAAAAGTTTTTCCTAAAAACAGCCATGAGTGGAGGGAGGTGTGACATTTAGACTCCTAATCACCTGTGCACACCAGCGTCAACTTTGGTTCCATATGTGACTTGACACACACATACACCCGCTCACACGCTCTCCTGCAACTTTAAATATTTGATGTAGACATTGCTGGAAGCACTTTGTCACAGCCAGTGGCCTAACAGTTAAGCAGACTAGATGCCTCTCTCTGGGGAGATGGTAGAGCTGAGTCAAGGGTATGAATACATTTTGCCAAAGCTCCCAGTGCCAGCAGAATTAGTTTTTTGAGGAATAAGTCAGGAAGCATCACATCACACTGACTATAAACATTTTGAGCCGATTTCAGTTGAATCCCTGCTACAGTTTTGGATTTTTGTTTGTTGTCAGGTCTTTCCCTTCCCGACTTTAAAGACTTTGACATTACCACAAATATAAATTCAAGTACAAGTTAAGAACCTCCCCCACAAAAATAAAAATTATAGCCTCAAAAAGAGAGTTTTAAGGCTGGCAGATACGGAGACACATTATCACAATATAAATTTAATGATTCTCACTATTTTAAGCTCTTGAGTGAAAGCCAAATAAGCCAGGGGTTAATTGCAGGATGATTCATTATGTTTTCTCTGTCAAAACATGACAATTCTGGGTCTTATTGTGACACTAATTATTACTCAGTCAATATACCCATTAATTTCATGTTCTGTTAAAATAAGGAACTTAAATATCTTTTAGCTGAATTTATTTAAATGTATTCACTTCACCATCCCTGAAATACCTGAATTACTATTTCCTGTTTGATACTACTGGCTGTAGACTGCAGACCGTGTTCTTGTCAACCTGTGTGGTTCTGAGTCAATGTGTGGCCATACCTTAACTTTGAAAAGAGACATGCTTTGTAATTTGGTTACAGGATTAATGGAATCGATGCTGGACTGTCAAACTATTGACAGTACATCCATTTTGGCGGCTTAGTTGTAATGTGTGATAATAATTGAGGGTTCCATAATATAGCACTTTAAAATTAACAGCATTATCCAATAGAAGTTAGTCTGCTATGATAGTAATCCTGTTATGTAACTGAAGTAATGATTAAGTGCACTTTACTGGGGCATTTTACTGTGGTATATTTGTGTAGCAGGGAGAAAGGATTTTCCCCTGTTTAAAATGTTTTAGGAACTCAAAATTAATCTTGTGTTATGGCTCAACTGGGGATACATCCAGTAGGGTATATTTAGTTTTTTGTTACAAATGACTAATAGAGATCTTTTTGTCTTAATATCTCATCACCTCCATAGAAGAGGCAGAGCCTGAGGAGAGTGAGGAACCGTTCGTTGCTCCCCCAGGGCTGGCCATCCCTCCTGATGTGGAACTGGTGAGTATTAAATATTCTGCCGGTTTACTGTAATGTTAATACCCTACTGTGCTCATATATGTATACACAACATGCATATTTATAGAAGGGTAATACAGGTAACAGTTAATACAGTTAAAATCAGTAGCTATTCAAGCATTTGCTGTGTGAAGTAGCGTAGTGTGTGTCACAAAAGGGCATTCATTTTTATGCTACAAAACCGCATGTATCCATTGTATGTGAAAAGTAACGCTTCACGTTGACATAAAATCCATTGGTAACAACAGGCGAAGTATAATAGACTGAAATATTTAAAATGCATTGCTCTTGCTTAGTTCTATGCAATAATGTTGTGTCAGACAGTCTTCCCTCAGGACCAGGCCAGTACGCAACCAGAACCCTCTACGACCCCCTTCAGCAGCCACTTTCTTATGCATGAGAAGAAAGACAAGCTTTAATGTTGTCATTGTCTGTGTGAATATTCAGTATATACCATGCTCTGTATAAAACAGCCAAAACACCCTTGTGCCTACATGCAGAGCATAAAATAGCTGTAGTGTATGATGCTTCTCAGCCTCTGCTCTGTAGATTTTGAGGGTATACCCTTTTATCTCAATAAATTTCAGTGTAGTGTTATTTTTTGAAGAATATTCTTAATCTTTTTTGATTTTTCTTTGTATTTGATAGTCATGGCAGAGAATAACAGGCAGCCTGGGAAAAGAGCAGAGGAATGGCTTGAGTAAAAGGTCTTGGGCCAGAATGTCACAATGGCCGTAAACCATGTGTTATACTTTCAGGAAGCTGGCATGCTTTATGACTGTTATGTTATAGGTGTGGGGGAGGACACTTTCCTTGAGAAAAACACATCAACATGAAATACGAATTACAGACCCCTTTTTCTTTAATGGCTTCTTTTTCTTTAAAGTTCTTAAATAGGAGTGAGAAGGGTCCTTGTATGTCAGAAAGTCCTTGGCAGCTTAGAAGACAATAATGGTCTGACACTGGCATCTTTTTGGCCACTGTCTTGAAAGGTAGTGTTTATGACTTTCATTTTGATGAGATATGTGCGTTCTTTTGGAGATTGCTGCACTTCCCTGTACTCTCTAGGTAATGACAATGATTAATCACTGAGAGCACACAAGAGGAACAATAATGAATGAATAATGGACCATTTCTTGTTCCATTGATTTCCCTCCCCATGTGTATTTTGAGAATTATTGTCATCACAATGAACATAACAGTGCTTTGCATGAAAATACTTCAGAGACAAAATTTGCTTGTGTCCTTGGTATGAAGAAGTCATTCATAAACTGTACATTACATCTTAATGTTATGTTCTGCAGTCAGGTTCACACACTTTCATCTATGGCACTGGAATCAGTTCTTGCATTAAATATGTTCAGTGTAAAACATATGTGTTCATTTCTTGACTTTTCTTCTTTGTAGCCGGCAACAATTAAGACCCATAACATCATCGAGAGGACAGCCAACTTTGTGTGTCAGCAGGGGGCTCAGTTTGAGATAGTGCTGAAAGCCAAGCAGGCTGGTAACTCCCAGTTTGACTTTCTTCGTTTTGACCACTACTTGAACCCTTATTACAAACACATCTTGCGGGCCATGAAGGAGGGTCGATACAACCTTGTCCCCTCCAACAAGCAAGAGCAGTCACAGGGTGAGTTACAGAAAGCAGCCACTGAAACCACACACACAGACACACAGGCATTTACCGAATCAAGAGGCATGTACTGTAGCTAAAGCATAAATATCAGATCTGTAGTACATGAACAATTGAACAGAAGGAAGGAGTAATAATTGGTAACAATTTCCATCAATTATAGTGTTAAACATTTTTTTTCATACATATATTCATTACGTTTTCTTTGTTTTGTTTTTTTATGTATGTTTTTTTTTGCTATCTCGCTATAGACTCTCACTCTGATGATTCAGATGAGGATGGGGATGGCAGCTACCTTCATCCCAGCCTGTTTGCCCCGAAAAAGAGCTCTCGCCTGGAGGAGCTGGTGAAGGTAATGTAAATAGGCCACAGAGTGAGGATCTTCACCTGTTTGATCCAGTTGCTACTTTACATTGCATCACTCTCCTGTGAGAACCACACATCCTGAAAATGTCTCATTTTAATGAGTTAAGAAAAACAGCCCAGTTCTTAGCATAGGAACTTTATCTAATCCCCCAGTTTATCTGAAAAAATCACCAAATTTTGAAATACATTGTTTCCATTGGACAGTGACAATAGGCTGCTTATCTGAAGGAGTCAAAGTGAAATTGACTTCAGCACATCCTTGTCATTATAGTGTTGTATAAGAATGCTGCTGCTCTAATCAGTAGGCGACCACTGCCTGTCATGTGAATTACATGTACATCCTGTTTTGTACTGCCCATGTCTGTTATCTGCTGTAATAACTATATTTCCTGTTCTGATGATTTTATAGTTCTGTAAAACTTTTTTGCGAGTTCTTTCATGTGCCTTGACAGGACAGCCATTAGTCTTTGACTGAGCAGCAAGAATGGAATCATGTCTTTTTAAAGAAACATAATGAGCTCCTTTTAGTAGAATGCTGTCTAACAGTTGCTTCCCATCAAGAGGGAGTTCCTTTTCAAATCATCCTCTCTAATTTTCTATGAAAGGCTCATATTTAATATTTTACTGGGTTAACTGTTTAATTCTCTAGATCTCTCAAATAGAAATGAGGAAGATTACTGCATAATGTTACTTGCAGAGTAATGCTTAAATATTGCACTGCATTCAAATACTTGCTAATAATTTCATGGTTTCTGACTTCAGAGAGTTTGAATGTGTGGTGTATGTGTTATAATATTACTGTAAAACAGTTCTGCCTTCTGCATTGCACCTGTAGTGAGTTTCAATTACCTTTACTTGAACAAACCATAACATAATGGTGTGAAATACTGTTTTCACCAAACAGCACTTGTTGTTTTGCAGCCTCTCAAAGTAATGGACCCAGACCATCCTCTGGCCGCACTTGTACGAAAAGCCCGGCAAGAAAGAAATGGCACTGCAGCAATGGCAACCAAACCAGAGCAAGTGACAGATCCAGCTGCATCAAGCACACCAGCGCAGTACACTGCTGACCGTGAGTACATCGTTTTTTTATTTTTTTTCTCAGAGAATTAAAGACTACTCGTCCGAAAGTCATTTAGACTCTTTTCATGTAGAAATTTTCCCTCAGATAGACTGATAGAAAATGTGCCTGACCTTAATAGTTCCCCCAAATAAGCACTTGTCTGCAGATAGTTGTGTGCTGCTATTGTGAACCTCTTAGTCACAATTGTGTGATTATGGCCTACTTCAGATGCAAATGCCATGAATATGTAGGTGCCCTGGTAGCTCACCAGGTAGAACACGTACCACTAACAAGGTTGAGTCCTCACCTCTATCTCTTCTGCCCTTCCTGTCAGTTTTCACTGTCTCTATTCAATAAAGTGGAAATGCCGTAAAAAAAAAAAAAAAAAAAAAAAAAAAAAGATGAATATGACAAATAGCATTCAGGGTAATGTAGCACCTTGATCTTTCCCATAGGGGAAGTATATAATACTCAAATGAAACTAACTCCAAGATGACATTTTTTGAATGAAAATGTCATCTTCAGAATGAATGAGACAAAACAATAGGACTTCCATTACATGAAAAAAAACAATGCCTGCCTCGTGTGCATACTGTACACAAGGCCATAAACGTATTCATTCTTGATGAGTCATATCCACCCCCACTCTGCGTTATTCATTGCATAGCCACTTAAGTAATTGTACCATGCATGTGTTCATCTTCCCCTGAAACAGTTGCTAAAATAAACCCATGGTCATTGGCCGCTGTTGACCCGTGTGTGTTCACTTGTCCATTACTGCAATTTATTCATCTCTGAGACAGTTCTGGAGGGTGTCCTTTGACCTGATCTTTGTGGCAGACATAGGGCTGTTAGTGTTAGTATATTGGTTGTGTATGATCTACTTGCTTAATGCTGTTGATAAGCACTGTTGCTCTAAACGAGGGCTGTTAATTTGTCCATCCGTGTGGCTATGCTTGGCTTGGTCCAATGAGGAAGCCTTCTCTTGTTTTTTTTTCATTCTGCCACTGATGATGTTAATACAGGCCTTGGGTAATACGTAGCTCCATTACCCCTTTAGTACTAGATTGCGTCTTGGCGTATGAAATCACTCCGTCTGAACCTAATGGATACTGTGTGAGTATGCTAAAGAACTAACATTAAAACCAGCTCCAAAAACTCTACCTAACTTCACCATTAAAGTCAATCTTTGAAATATCATCTATCTGTGCATTGAATTTTTAATTTCCTTAAGTGTCTATTCCATCGGTGTCACATGTCAAGTTTGTAAATGAGAGGTTCTGATTTGGTTTCCCATTTTCCTGACTAGAGAAAATTGGATGTCATTAAAGTCAACCAGCTCAGTGACTAATGTGTTAATATCACACTGTCTCCACTTTGACACTGACCATTTATTTTGTCCCTGTCCCTATACTGCCCCCCTCCTCTTCCTACCTCTCTTCTCAATAAAGGGTTTTTGTAATACAAACACACTGATAAGGGAGATGACCTTTTTTTGTATACAGGTCACATGCTGATTTATGTTTGCGTCCTTCGGCTAATTTAAATTGATTACTGCGGTAGACATTTTAAACATAACATAAAAATATAGCTTGACAGCAAACAAGATAGCACAGTACATAAAACAGCCACAACACAAAATAAGCCTTAGAAACAGAAAACCCATCATAGCGTTATAATGAACACTTCTAGACCACTTTACTCTTGAGGTCTGACCACAACTACTCTGATGCACTGCCGTGCGCTGGCCACTTTGAATGCAGCTGCTATACTTTGCCTCCACTTTTAGTGTTGACACAATTTAAAGTGTTCATAAGAGCAGGAAATCATAAAGCAAGTTCATGTAGTAGCGTTTCTAAGTGGCTCAGTTTGATTCACATTTTTGATGTCTTATGTGTATAATTTTTTTGTATGCCAGTGATCATAAAAACCCATATGAACCAGTTTTTCCATCTTTCCTACCTTGTAAATGTAATTTCAACACAGTGACTGAGCACAAATGTGGCATTTGTGTATTTATTGGCTTACTAAACAAGCCTGAGTCGACAGTTTCCATTTCCAGTGGCAGATGACATCTCCCTGAACCTGTTAATGTTCTTCGCCAAGGGTGAAACAGACAGATTAACATGACAAGACAAGAATTAGTAAATCATCTCTTAACTGTTATAATAGCACTATGCCTTCATAATACATAATACTCTGTACTCAACTGTACTGGGGATGGACACAAGAAAAACACTCTACAATCTGTTCCCTTTAAGGTCAACACAGAGTAACAGCTGTTATAATTCATGGGATTATTCAGTTGATTATTCAGTTTGTGTCCACATTCAAGTGCAGAGCCGTTCATCCATTCATCCATGAACAAAGCGGAATAGTTGCATCCATACATCCCAACTATTGAGGCAAATCCTTGTCTTCATATATCCCATAATAATAACATAACTATTTATCTTTCATCTGGCAGAATTGAAGCTTTTATGAAAGATACTCCATTTAATGATGTATTTTTTCCTCATTTGTTTACACTAAATACAGCAGCAGTGTACTATGGGTACTACATGCTTCCTGATGGAACGTTCTGCTTGGCCCCACCACCTCCAGGGATAGAGGCAACCTCCTACTACAACAATATGCCCTCAGCTGTAATGGCTGCTCCCCCTACCTCCTCTGGGGCCTTGCCTCAATTGGGGACACCCACCCCTCCTGAAACTATCACCATGGCACCACCAGCTACAGCCCCCTCTCAGGTCACCAGCTCTGCTGCTCCAGCAAGTGTACCAGAAACCAGGTAGGACATAATGGAATAAACTCTGCCTTAGTGGCATTAAAAAATGTGATTGAATTTCAGTGTTTTTGGTATTTTGCTTCATCAAAAATGAAGTAATCTGATTTAAATATGTTCATAATTATATCCAAGAAACTTAATCAAGCATCAATGAAATGGATTCTTTGTTGGCTTAGTCAAAGCATTTACCTAAAAACCGTAATTAGTGGAGTTTGCTCTGCCTTGGATGTCTGGGTGTTTTCAAGGTATAGCAATTGAGCAATAATCATTTTAACTGAAATTATTACACAGAGTCATTAGACACAAGTAAGAAGAAAGAGCACGATTTTAAATATATGAAACATTTTTCTCAGTTTAACACCTTTAATTTCCCCCTGAAAACAGTTCAAAAGCCGAAGTTCAAGTTTCCACACCAGCAGCACCAGCCATCATCCCCCCACCACCTGACATTCAGCCAGTCATAGACAAGCTGGCCGAGTACGTTGCTAGGAACGGTTTAAAGTTTGAGGCCAGTGTCCGTGCCAAGAATGATCCACGGTAAGTGTTCTTACCAGAAATAAATCTGTTGCTCGGGTCAGGGTTTGGTTTTAGGAACTCTTATCAGTAACTTTCCCTTCAGATACCACAGACCCTCTTCATCATCCTCTGGCTCATCTTTTATGAGTCTTCACCTCTCATCTTATACAGTGTGTTTTCTTCCCTTTGTCTACTGTAGGTTTGACTTTCTGCAGTCTTGGCATCAGTACAACACCTATTACGAGTTTAAGAAGAATTACTTCATGCAGAAGGAAGGAAAAGGCTTGGCAGAGGTACTATAAGCTTTATATACGTGTGAATGTGTTTCTGTGCATAAGAATCTGAGAGATGGAGCTTCTCCATCTTTCTTAGCAACTTAACATTCCTGTCCTGGTCTTGACACCTTGACACCAGATCAAAGCTTGTATATTGGACAGAGGGATGTGTTTGATACAGTTGACAATACTACGACTACAGTACTGCCACACTTCCATGAAATTTGATATGGGTACTTGTGGTTCTTAAATAATGAATTCTAATGGTTATTGTTACAACTGTTTTATTTGCTACAGAATCAGAAATGATAAAAACTCCCACTTAAATAAATTAAATACCTTAATAAAGTTGTGCCAAGTGGCACATGAGTAACAGCGGTGCCATCATGGATGCTGTTGAAGAGGATTTTTACAGAACAGTTCAAGACAATTTTCAGAAAGAAAGGCCAGTGTTAGATTAGATTAGATTAGATTAGATTCAACTTTATTGTCATTGCACAGAGTACACGTACTAAGACAACGAAATGCAGTTAGTATCTAACCAGAAGTGCAAAAGAGCAGTTAAAGTGCAAGTGTGTGCTGTACAGGTATGTAAAGTGAGGGTGTGCATAAGTAAAGTGGAGATGTGCATATGTAGGGTACAATAAATTACACTGTGAATTACAATGAATTACAATGATGAGGTAGCGAATTACAATGATGAGGTAGCGGGAATAAATACAGTGAGTGCTAGACAATGAGTAGAGACGGTTCAGAACAGTTCAGTGCAAGGTTAATTAATAGGTTATTGGGCCCATATCAGTCAAGCAAAAACATGTTCAACTCTGCCATTACAACCCTCAGACTTTAAATCGCATGCAAATCTGATGAAATTAAATGACAGCAAATGGACCTCTGTTTACACAGTGGGATGGCACAGTTGTTGGAGAACGTATGCAATCTAAAAATTACACCACCTAGAGAAATACTTCCTTCATATCTCGTATCTAACAAAAAAAATTGTTGTTATTATGGTCTATTAATTTCATTTCATTTCGGTTGCTCACTAGAAGCTCAGTATGAGCAGATAAAAGCTCAGTAAATGCAAGGTTAATACTTCACACGTACATGTAGGAAAAACACTGTTCTTCCATTCACCTCCTGTCATTAAAATCACTGTTCTTCTCTCCTTTATGTAATTCTGTTTAACAGCATTTGCAGCCGAAATTTAAGCATGGAAAAAGGTTGTCTAAGCAGTCACTGCACTTACAGCCAACCTTGAAATTAGCTGCTTCTTGTTGCTGATTTGCTTGGACCTGCCATGCTAAAATTAGAGGTATCCTGATCCAAAATATTGAAATGAAGAATGAGAGTGAGACAGAGAACAGGGAAGAGATTAAATAGCAGAGTACTAGATCCAGCCACTTTACCAGGCACCAGAGCAATACACTCCAAAAAAATCCTCTGTTTAACTTGTCAACCAGTCTAGTTCTCCACCTTCAAGAATTACAGAATTACAGTATCCCTTGTTTTAGTAATTTTATATCAAGTTTCAATATCTTGAAACAAGGCAAATTGCTGCACCACTATTAAAACCAAATTCTTTAACAAATTGATTAGCAGACTCATCCAGCTTCGCCAGTGCTGCGAGGCTTCTCGTACCTACTCTTCTTCGTTGTCTGTGCACCCACAGCCAGAACTGAAATCCAGTCGCTGTGTATAAGGACCTTAATGAGGCATCCTACCCAATTAGCAGCAGTGCCAACAGACATGTAGTTCTCTCACTTTCTCTTCTGGCTGGTCTTGCTCCCTAGTGGCACATGCTTTAGATTTAGTATGGTGTATTGGTTAACAAGTAACTGTTCAACAAATTCCCCGGTTGTTTGGCGATGGATGCTTGTTTCCAGGGATACATTCCCCATGGCCTTAAAGTGCACCAGAATGTCACAGAATATTCTTTCTAATATTGGGGTGAGGCATTTTCCCCTCAGTCATCATGCTCGGTAAATTGTCACTTTTGTGTTTCTCCTTTAGGTACTGGCAGGGGTGGGGTCAAACTCAGTTTTTTTATTGGTCATGTATTATATTTTAGTACATACCCTGGAGAAACACTTGTTAAATAATATACTTGTAATGTTTATAACAGAGCCTCACACAGACTAAGCTTACGGTGATTTGAGGGTGTTGCAGCCAACTTCTTCAACTACATATCCCTTGGAAATGGGCACTTAGAGTGTAAATTTGCATCTGTTAGGTAACCGCCAGATGATACTCAATGTGTTCAATTTAGCTGGCTACAGGAATGGGCCCCTGTGTCACTATTCTGAGTCAGGCTCCCCCTGTACCCTTTGAACCAATATGTGATATGACAGTGTCATTAAACAGTATATCTGACAGTATGTCTGATTAGTCAGTTAAATCTGTTTTAATGTTTCTTGTATTACTTACATTGCATTAAAATAGCGAACCAAATCCTATTTGAATGTACACACGTGCATGTGAGTATTATTTTGAGAAAGACTTTGAGAAAAAAATATGAACTTATTCCTTGAAATTGACTCTAGCGAAGGACAAGAGAAACATTAGATACATTGTACATTTTCTCTGCACTAGTGATAAATCTTATGTACTGCAGAAAATTGAAAGCAATTATGAGCTCAACTCCTTCAAAGCACAACCTGTATTCCCGCCAAGGTCCCCTCAGAATATAATCTCACGACACCACTGAAGATTAATAGACTATGCATATTAGCCCATTCACAAGCTACCTGCATTGTAGCAAGGTTTTTTAATGGCAGTCAGTTTTCTTGGAGTTATTATAATAACTTTCAAGGCTGTTGAAACTGGTTTGTGGTTGGGTTATACAGCTGTTGATAATGCATGGTAATAGACAAAATTCACATGTTTCAACAAGAATGTGTCAGGGCTGTGCATATCAGCTTGAGGGTTTTTCAGGTTTTCAGGCTAAGCTTTGGTGTTTGTTCATCTGTTACATTCATAGTGTTTATAAGTTCACAGGAGCTCACACGTCAAGCCATCATCCCTCTCAGACAAGGGAATTATATGTGATCTGAACAGTCAGATTCCTAGGTGAATAAATATATAGATGGAAATAAGCCTTATACATATGTACATAATGTATTTATATATGCTTACACATATTCATGGGTTGTTGACTCTGCTTTGTGTCAGAGTGAGAAAGGAAAAAGCGAGAAGTAAGTGAGAAAGTTTTGCAAGGGGCAATTTGTCTTCTGACGAATCAAATCCATTAGCTTGTCAGAGTGCAGAGGAGTGTGGCCCATTATGACACAGCTCAGGCTGCTCCAACAAGCAGCTGCTCGGCTTTTCTATCAAAAAACCTGCCTTGTGTTTGTGATTTGTGCTGTGGGTAATGGGATGCAGATATCGCTGCTCTCACAGTGCTATTATTTATAGTTTCATAGTTAATGAAAAAAGTGAGAAAGGGGGCTAAAATCAGTCAAAGCTGACAGCTGTAGGGTGTGCGGCTGCTGTTTCTCTGTGTAAGTATCACTAAAATCTCTAAAGGCTTCAGAGTGCTGCATTTTGGGAGTGGATAAATGAAATTGTTATCTAAAAAGAAGCATTTTCTATATGGTCCAAATCATCACAAGATTTGTCTCTTTCTTGTTTGGAGAGCTTTGCTAATAAGATGTAAAGAAAGTCATCGATTTATGTTCACATGCTGGGTTGAATGTGACACCCAAATTCGTTTTAAGTATTAAAAACAAACTTGTAATACATAGAATTGTTTTCTACCTGCCCTTGTATCTAATAGAATATTCTAAGTCTGGCCCCACTTCAGGGAACACCTTGGGCTCTATTTTAATGGTCCAAAGCACACGATCTAAAGATTGTGACACAAATACATTTAGGGCGTGTCCATATCACTTTTGTCACTGTGCCAGGAGCATGGCTAAAAAGGGTTGTACTAAGCGCTCTAATTAATCATGGGAGTGTTTTTGCCATAACATACAATAAACCAATCAGAGTGCCATCCCCCATTCCCTATTAAAGCCAGGCAAGCTCGCACATTGGCGGATTACTATCATAATGGCGCATTGTTTCACACAGAATACTTGTGGTGAGTTGATTACATATTGTGACTGACCAGTGAGCCCAGTCCCAGCACGCAGCAGCTCTGTGCACCCCAAGGAGAAAGGAAGGGCTGAGTGAATCAGTGAGCTGCGCACAGATCTACAATGAAGTAACAGAACAAATCACAACGTTAGACATCTTTTACGTTATATGATGAGAAGTGGTTGTGCGTAACAGGCAGAGTGTATGCACGTTGTGCACCCAGCTATGTAGGCGTATATTACTCTGTTGATAATGCGCCCTTAAAATAACAGTAAAAAACTGAGCTACTGATGTCAGACCAGGTTTTTGTTGGTCAATCACTTTCCGCTGCCTCAAGATATCAATGTGCAAACAACACACCCAACCACACCTCATTTTAAGACCAACACACCCATGGGCGCAATGGTATTTGCTATTTAAACAACATGGGCGCTGGATGAGAAAATGACAATTGCGTTAGTCTGAAACTAGCAATAACACTTGCGTTGCGCTGCTTTGGGCTGCGTATATGATAGGGTCCCTTGTTTTTTAAAAAAAAAAAAAAAAGAACAAAGTAACAGAAAACACCAATGACTTTGTTAGCATTCAGCATTCCTTATATTGCTTTGACAGTGCAATCCATTCAGTATAAGACGTGAATGGAAGTCTCAAAAAAGGATTGTATTTTAGCCAATGAAAAATAAATAATTAAACTACACAAAGTCAGATTTAAGAGAGTATTTTAACAGGAAGAGGAGTTGACATGTTTACAAAAGACATTGTCCATATGTTTCACTGAGACAACTGAATTTGGGCACAGCACTCCAAGCTTATGTAGGATGCACTGTATAGCACTGAAGCTTTCATCTCCTCTGCTGTTATATTATCCTTGAGTACAATGTTCTATATTTCGCAGGACATATTACTATAATCTGACAGTTTTCCTTTGCAATGAAGTCATTTTTCAATTCTTATAAACAAAATTAAACAGGCGCTGTTTCCTGTTGAGTCTATTTTTGAATTGACCTGACAATTTGACATGGTTTGGGCACAAAGTAATTTTTGAACAAATAATTAAACAAAGCAGAAATCCTCTTCTCAACAATAAAATTGGGTAGGGGAGAGGTCAGATGCTGTGAAAGTATCCAAAATCTAGAGCTGCAATTGGGTGAAACATTTATCATTCGCAACAAGCATTTTTGATTTTAAATTCCTCTGAATTCTGACCATTTGCCTTGAGTAGCCAAGGTCTGTAACCTGCACAGTTTTCAGCCTTGCTATGAAATGCTGCACGTTCCCATTCAGAGTGGAGGATTATTACCTTCTGAACTGTTCTGTGCTATGTGAAGGTAACACATGGAAATTAATACTTCTAAGGATTCTAAACGCTGAGCTAAAGTTGTGTGTGTGAGTTTGATCAAATTTCTGCATATTCCTGGTGAAGTCTTCCCAGAATGGTTTAGAGTAAGCTTCCTCCTGCTTCTTCTCCTGTGAGCTTTGATTTATGAGATTTTTAGGAGTTATATTCTCTGGGGCCTCTGTAAAGTGCTTTGACTGTTGAAAGCACTGTTCAATTACAGCAGAATAGTGGGAAGCTGCCTTTGAAGCATTCTTCAAACATGGTAAAATGAACCTCATGAGGTTAGGTTTTTTTTTTTCCTCCTGTGGCATTGGTTTCATCCCCACCTTTCCCTCTCATTCAATCAGCAGTTTACATTTGGGATAGCAGCTGAGAGCACTTGGTCCACAGGTATTACTACAGAGGGATTCTGGTTATCTGGTATGTGCACACATGCCAGTTATAAGTGCTCTGTGAAGATGCTTTGTTGATGTGAGGAGTAACAGACCATACAGTGCAATATTAGAAAGCCAATTAAGATAATTAAAGCTATATAAGCAACTAATTGTATTTCCAGACATGTAATTGTTAGCAGAAAGAAAGAAGAGTAACAAGTAAATCCACACAAGGAATATTGAATAGAATTTAGATGGGATTATTTACATGATTTTCATCAACTATTAAAGCAAGGTGTAGATATGAACATGAGCATCATTCATTTTAGATGCATACACAGAACGGTTCACATTTTTATAAATGAGCAGGCTGTTTTTGAATGTGATGTTCACATAGATCTCATGTCATATGCACCCAGATGCTGTTGTGTTTTCTGTTCATATTCAATGTTCATCACCGTTTACAATAAACAAAAGGTCACATTGTGATGAGTATGGCTTAGAAAATTAATAGAAAACTTGAATTAGGAACTAATTATTGGTTTTTGTTTTTTTACAGAATATGCTGTTAAATTGCTATCTTTGTACCACTCATCATTTCATGTCATGCCATCATCCTTCAAACAAAAATATAACTCGAATCCAATATGAGGGAAAAAATAAACCATTGATACAAGGACCAATGACAATCCAGTGAGCAGTGTGTTTTTCCAGTCAGGTGGAAAAACACATGTTTATGTTGGAGTGAAGGAGAGACCTGTCAGTCATGTGTTGCACAGGCAACCTGAAAGGCACAGTAACAGAGGCAAAAATATAGGCTCGCCTTGAGAGACTGCTGCTGTACACAAGCTAATAAATTCCACTGTTTGCTTCTTTTTTTTAACCTTCCTTTACTGTGCAGTGACAGTAGCCAAGTGCAGAGTCTCTTTTTTCATCTGTTAAGATTGGCTCAACTCAAAAGAGTCCTGTGCTTTTGTTAATCATTTCCTGACCTTTTCTGTTCTGCTCAGCACCTCCACATGCTGCCACCACAGAAATGTGAAAGCACTGAAGAATATCCATGAGGCTGTTGCCAGAATGTTCTGTTCTCCACGGTAGATTTTAGTTCCTCAACTGCAACATTTACTGTTGCACAGCAGGAAGATGTCTTCAGAAGTGTAAACCTTAACCATGGATAGCACCCTGCAGATGAGTAATTACAATAATTAAATGCAACAGTTATAGTTTCATTGGAAAGCAATGCAAAGGAGTAAAGGAGTGACTCATCCAAACATTTCAGATCCATCCAATATATATATATATTTCTTTTACTAACTGACAGGCAGATAAACAACCAGCATTTCTGGATGCTTCTTTTAAAATGTTCCTAACACCAACATATTGCTGCTCTGCTTCCTTCCCATCATAAAAGTACAAAGTGAAAAAAATGAAGCCAAGTAGGTTTCTGTAGAATTTTCAACACCGTCTGTCTTTTGTCAAAGTCGTAAAGGTTTGTCTGCATTGTAGATACATGAAAGAAAATTGCGTGGCCTCAACAAAAAATGTTACTCATTTACTAGTTAAGAATTTAAATAGGAAATTGAGTGAAATTAGTTTACAGTGTATATCTTCTCTTTTTCTGTCTCTCTTTGCTTTCATCCAGAGTGGGACGGGAGATGATGGCGATGAGTCAGACAAATCAGTCAAGGAGCCCAAGCTGACTAAAGGTGGGACACTAACATGAGCAGAAATACATAGAACATATTGCTGCTTTCACTTCCTCTTCTTTATTTCATTCACTCATTAAATGAGATGCAAAGCCCTTGGGTGAATATGTGTACAGTGTATAGTTTGTGTGCACGTATTTACTCTAGTGTGTATACGAGTGTGAATATGTGTCATATGTTGGTGTTTGTGCATAGCTGCTTGTGAGTCTTGGTATTTATGCTAGCAGTTTCATTTGGTGGTATCAGGCTGTAAATGTCCATGCAGAGATGAAAGAGTCTGCTTACCACAATGCTGGCAGGAGCCATAAACATGCACATATATGCAAATGAAGGCATGAATTCAAACAGACTATTTGGAAAGCTAATAACTATTTGGAGTACTGCACAAATAAACTATCTAGTCTTCCACAATAAGAATTAAGGTCCTTCATTAAGGTTATTTCTTTAGGGAATCAAGCGCACTGTCTCTTTCATCTCTACTAGAGCTGACACATTTGATTACGAAATAGAAATCAATGTGGCACACCATTGCTGATTCATATCGAGCTGCTTCTTGGGCAACTCTCTATTTTTCTGTTTGTCCAACTCTTTCTCTGTCTACATTGTATTCTGTATCTTGTCAAGCCTGTTTGTTCGCTTGTCTGTGTGCGTATGACTATTTCACGTTTCACAAACCCCTTTTCACTCTTACAGTTTCTTCAATTCCCTTTTTTCATTATTCTCCTTCCTATTTCTCCATCATTTTGTTATCTCATTGTCCATTTCTCTCCTAATCCAGTCTTACCTTTCTTCCTTGTCCAGATCTTTTTCCTGTGTTTGTCATACATATTTAATTTTAATCTGAATTTCTTCTATCAAAAGAAGACCAGGATGCAATGTCTACCTTCTATGAACTTGCACTCTTCTGAGTCCTTTTTGGTCCTCATGCATCACAATCTAACCTTCTGTTTTTCTGTGCCATTACAGCTTTGTTTGCTCCCATATGTTTTGCCATCAAGGCAAAGGAAAATGACTTATTGCCTCTGGAGAAGAACAGAGTTCGACTGGACGATGACTCAGACGAGGACAAGGTCTAATTCAACTTTATATATTCAGTGCACATAAATCAAGAGATGATTTGGTATGGATATAAACTGCTCCTTGAAAATATATTTTTAGTACCTTGAAATTAACACATTATTACGCATAATTTGATTGAAGTTGCTGGAGGAGGAGGGGCTGGAAGCTGTGATGGGTGGAGCTGAGATGGTTGACAAGGAGCCTCCTCCAGTCAGTGCACCAGAAGAAAAGAGACCCTCCCTTAGTTTGGAGGAGCTGGAGGCAAAACAAGGTAACATTATCAAAGAGATTAGGAAATTTGAAAATATTGTAAAAACTACTGCACTGCTTAAGGCACTGTATTTCTTTATATACATCTAATATGCAGTGCTAAAACAGAAAAATAAAAATGTATAATATAATATGAAAAAAATATAAATATAAATAGATTCTATTAGTTACACTTTGCTTTTGGCTGTGTAACAATTACTATACTCACGTTATTAATTACCTCCTAGTTAAAACACGTCATGTTTCAAATTCAGTAAACAAGCAGTCTTGATTTGGACTCTTATTTCCCCATTAATGCCTGTCAGTTTGTGCATTCAGACAGTTGTCTGCCTCAGTCAGCCTGCATGATTGACAGAAGGTTAATAAATCCCAGCATCTATTGATGGTTATGACAGAGCTCATTTCTCTCCCTCCGCCCCAACTGCCCCTTCTTTTTTTTCTCAGCTCCATGGTTTTAATGTAGGTGGGCTAAAATTGAATTGTGTGTCTCAGCATCAGCAAATAAGCGCAGGTCCTTATGAGACATCTCTGTCACACCTACTGGCCTTTGTTACTTCCTGGGAGGGTTGGAATTGGAGGAAAAATAAAAAAGGGAAAAGAGGTGATGAATAAATCCACTGACTCTGAATTATACGTTTTTTTCAACAGGGTGTACCCTGCACTAAGAGACAAGCAGTGTAAATGACAGTCATATAATGTATCTCTCTAAAGACCCAATGGAAATGTATTTTCTCTCTTTTGTTCAGTTGTAGATTTAAAATATTATACACTGGGTCTCTTCTGTCTTTCTTAAAGTAATGCAGAAGTGATTTGGCACAAAAAAGAACCAAGTAGAGTTATACACAGATATTGGTCCACGTCAGAGTGCATACACACACAAAAACCTTATTTGTCCTGCAAGAAGATTACACTCTATATCTTCCTCCTGATAAGGATTTTTAGGTTTGATACCATTTTAGTACAGTAACAAAAATAAGTCACCTCAGTTCAGGATCTAAACCATTTCTACAGAAAGCTAAGCAACCAAATATTAGATTCACTTACCTAAATTATTCATATATTCTTATGTATCACTGGCTATTAATTTCAAAAGCAATAGGCCTTTCTACTGGAAGCTGGATGCTATTGTTCTTGACGTTGATTCATTGCATCTTGGGATACTTCTACACCCTCCAAAATCTCCAATTGCTCCCTCTTAGCTTCAAAAAATTAGACAGCTTCGCCCTCCCCTGCATGCTTCTCTGGATGATCACAAAGCAGCTGAAATACAAAATGATGTTCCAAGAAGACATTTTCACTTCTCGGTCAATCAACAGCTGACAGCCAGCAGATGCCATTGTAATTGGGGACATCAATAATCCATTTGACCCGACTCGTTAAGTCTACACATAAGCCTTCTATATCAAACGTGTAAAAAGCAATAGTTGTATTGTCATCTCTCAAAATAATCATTGTATGTGTCTGTGAGTTGATTAGTACAAATGACTCAGTGATTAATTGAGCAAGCACTCAGATGTCTGCCTCTCAAAGCCTCCTCCTTGAAAGACAAAATATTTTTGGCTTAACAAGCAGATAAAAGCAAATGATGAAGAACAATTTTACAATATTTTTATGTTGTATATATCACTTGCTTTGTCTGGTAAACATGCTAATGCTTTATCATGCAGTATATGAGTAAGTAATTGTGCTACATACAACTCAGATTATCTTAAACAATCAGTAGCTGTTTGGCCGGATGGCTAATCAAATTTACTGAACTGCATTTAAACCTTTCAAGGTTTTGACTTTCTTTGAAGATGTTTGGTGCAATAAAATCTCTCTGACAACAAGAGATAAAAGTAAGCAACACCTGTCAGAAGGCTGCAATTATTTATAGCAATTAATACTTACTTTTTGTGCTATGGATTTGAAAGGGGCCTCTCCAGTGAGCAAAAACCTGCAAGAGCTCTGGATACTAAATGTCAGTCTCTATGCTTGTGCTTTAGGTAGTGATATTTCCTACAGTTACTTACCAGACTGTGCAGTGATGGAATAGCATGAGGTTGCTTGTCAGAGACTCATGATTGAGGTACCAGCCCTCTAGTCAGTTGTTCAGCCAAATACCCTAAGACATTGTAGGTCTTTAAAGGCACTGATTTAAGCATTTCATGAGGTCTAGAAGGACACAGTAGAAGTATTGTATCATCCCTTACACCAAAAAGACAACGGCAAAATAGAGCCTGAAAAGATGGACAGACAGACAGACAGACAAAGGCAAATGTGCTACTTTTCAGCATCAAGGGGGCTGACAGGTCCCGTTTAGGTTCAGTGGAACAGTCTTCGAGTGTAATGGTCTCTCTCAGAGCTGACAGATGGCCAGAGAAAGAGGCTGGAAAAGCCTAATAAATAGCTGACTGAATTGGCTTTGCTGTGTGGCAAAGTGGCTGTCAGTCAGCAGGCCTAACTTGATCAGATAGCAGGAGAATCAGTGGCAGACAGCAGAACACTAATCTGTATTGATGGGCTGGAAAACAGCCACACACACCAAATGCAGTTTCCAGTGATAAGTACATGAATCATTTAGACTGCAAACATTTCCCAGTGGATGCGCATGTTTAGAGGTGGTAGAAGACTTTGTAGAAAATATAGATAATATATTTTCAAGAAATGTTGAGAGGATGTGAAACATACTGTAAATATATTTCTCACAGACTTTTTTGGCATATAAATCTATGTTTTAGGCTGCAACTAGTCTGTTAGTTACTTTTTCTCGGTTGCTTAATTGTTTAGACTTTAGTTATTACCATGCAATGAGTTTCAGCACTTTTCATATTCAATGAAACATAACATATGCTTTAAACTGTTTACTATATAAACATCCTGGACATAAAGATTGTCTTCCATGATAAGTTGTGTCAGACAAGTCTGTAAATACAGTAGTGGGACTCAGCCTGGCGTTGACTGTGTATTGTGTCACTGTCTGGGATACAGATGGATTCTGCTCCATTTGGCTGTTGTTCACACTATACTCAAATATGATTTGCCTCGGCAGCCAGCCTATTTTTAACCCTGAAGAGATAACAGTAGCCCCAGTGGTTGCATAACTTAAACAACTTGTTTTCCACTAGCATTTGCTTTATACTTCACTGTCTTGTTTTGTCTCCGCTGTCTCACTCATCCTATTGCTCTCTGTGCCCCATCTCATTCCCGTGCTCCCCTTACCTATCTATCCCCTACCCATCTCCGTCACTTCATATCCGTTTCTCATCTCTCAGAAAACGGCGCATATTTTCCACCCCCACTGTCACGAAGATGTCTGTCTCCTCTTCTCCACCCACATGTTCCCTCCTACTTTGCTTTTTCTGTATAAACCTTGAATTGCATGGAATTATGTACCACCACAGACTCAGTCAGGCCTTATCATTTAGAGCAGGAACTGTGTCAACCTACAGCAGTGGGAAACTCAGAAAAATGCCAGTCATCACCTTATTCAGATTTGACAGTGAGAGTGGAAAATTCTCTTATCATCCTTTCCTCCTTGTCTATCCTTCACTTTTTGTCTCTCTGATATAGTCATAGTCTCCATATGTATCTCTTCCCCCTCACCTCTCCCTCTGTCCTCTTCTCTTGTTAATTCTCTGTTTTCTTCAGACCATTTACTTGTGGCCAGGAAAAAATTGGCTGCGTGAAAAGCACAGCACAACTACTCTTTTCCTCCTCTTGCCTGTCTTTTCAATCATTTTCTCCTCCCTGACCACCATTTTGTAGATGTACAAATGTATCTATATATCAGTTAAAAAAAAAAAAAAAAAAAGGACAATGACTGCAATTTTTTTCATCTTCATCCAACATCTCTTTCCTGTTTTTACACTCTCATCTCCTTGCCCTTAGCCAAGCAGAAACTAGAGGATCGTCTAGCAGCTGCAGCTAGGGAGAAGCTGGCCCAGGCATCTAAGGAGTCCAAGGAGAAACAGCTACAGGCGGAGAGGAAGAGGAAGGCAGCGCTCTTCCTACAGACCCTCCGCAGCCCTTTTGCTGGAGAGCCTGAGGCCAAGAGAGTTGAGCTAGACTCATCTGCACAGCTTGAGGTAGGTGTTTGGTTGATAAAGGTGTGTCAGTGTTTTGTCATTGCAAAATATTTTCTCCAACTTTGTGCCATTCAAGAGTTGTACTGTGTGCTTCTGACTACACTCTTTATTAAAGTAAAATCAAGGTTGAGATCTTTTTGGGCCCCTAATATCACAAATGTTTAGTAAAGGCAGACTCCTTTTTGCTGCTGTGATACTTTGTCATATGTAATTAGGGACCAAAGAGTCATTGAGTCATTTTACTGGCCTAACTGCAACTGCAATGTTTTGTTAGAATATAAAGTAGATCACCAAGTGATATCAGAAGAAAGATGCTGTATCTGCAGATCTGCATTTCCAAGATGTAAGGCCAAGCTGTGAATTCTAGTGAAAATGTCACTGCATTATCTGGATTATAGAGCGGAGAAGATGGTTGCGTCTATAGATAGTACTTACTGTCATTCAAATTAAGTTAACCTCATTTAGACATTTCTGCAATTGATTGCGTGTTTGCATTTATTGAATCAGTTGTTTATTAGTTAATTAAAATGCCACTTGATGTTTAGCCAGCATTAATGATCCTGTTTTTTTTTTTTGTTTTTTTTTTTTTGTCAAGGCTCTCAGGCCATTATTTTCCTCAATATTCAGACACGGTCTAAACAAATATTTTGAACTGACATTACCCAACCTTCACATCTCTACTTCCTCTGCTCTCTACTGTGAAATGTTCCATATGAAGTTTCAGGCTACATTCACTGCGATTGATATATAATGTAACAGATTGAGGTGAAATTGGGATTTTTTTTTTAATTTAAAATTATAAAATATAATAAGATATAAAATTGCTGGATAATACAAGATATAGAATTACAGCCATTAATGCATCAGTATCAGTGGATAAATAAATACAGCTTTTGCCAGTTCAATTAAAACATAGAGCTTTTTACATCAAATAGTTTTAAGTCGACACTCTTGGCTAGAACCATCCACCCTGAGGCCTGAGGTCAGCTGCAGATTATTACTGGCTCTGCTTTCTCTTTTTAGCCTCTTATTTTTTCATGAGGTGAATAGTGGTCAAATATTTGGTCAAAGAGCTTCATTAAATGGAAAATCTAATTTTCTACAGTTAGTACAGTTCAGTCAGCCCATACTAAAACAGCATCAGCCTTTATGCCTGAATGAGATTCTAAACATGTCAACACCAGATGGCATACTGTGTTTTCTTGATTTTTTTTAAAAATTTTTATCATGTGATGTTTTTTTTGACTATGTAAATGAAATTGCAGAGACCTACAGATGTGTGTGTGTGTGTCTGTGTGTGTGTGCGTGCGTGTGTGCGTGCGTGCGTGCGTGCGTGCGTGCGTGGCAGTATTGATGGCACTTACAATAATACATTAAGAGATTAATGTCTGGTTGCTGGGGGAATATCATCAGATATATCACTGCCACAGAAGTGAATACTTACCAGTATACTTAGTGGTATTCACTTCTGTGGCAGTGATATATCTGATGATATTCCCCCAGCAACCGGACATTAATCTCTTAATGTATTATTGTGTCATTAACTTAAAAATCTTGTGTGTATATATACACAGCTGATAAAAGCATATCACATATTTTTATTTTTATTGAGCTGTTGCTGTTGAGCTGAGTCTGTATTTAACACAGTCGGAAGCTTAGTTTAGACTGCTTTTCATGTATAGTCAGCCTGAGCCCTGGGGTGTGACTCTCAGTCATTGCATGAGAAACAGGTGGGATTTGTATGCTGAATAAGCTGATCACTATGCAGCTGTTGGCACTGCTAATGAAGCCCAACACTTTATCCTTGACTCATAATGTAGTGTTGTAAACAAGAAAGACTGACCCAGAGATAGATGGTTGACTCATACTCAGGATTTACAAAGTTTGTTTTGCTGTTGTAGGTATGAGGTATGATTTTAGGTCATTTTAATTCCATACAAATAAGTATGTTAATGTATGAAAACTAATCAGTATGAGCTATTGCATATTTACATGTGGACTGGGCACTCGAACAAGCTGGTATGGGTGAAAGAAACACGATAGTAACATGTTTTAAACAGTGATTGTCTTTTCTCATTTTTACAGTATATTTTAATGTGATTTAAAATGTTTACTGCATTTCAGTGATTATAATAAGCCAATACCATGCACCAAGAAGAGTTTGGAAAATGTAATTATACCGTAAAATGCTCAGAGCACACATTGTGGAGGTGGAAAACTAACTACAAAACCACACAGTGTGGCTCCTAATAAAGAAAGTTAAAGATTGAATCATGGAAAAATGCCTTTCTTCTACCCACCAACTCCCATGTTCTCTGTTTTGGTTTCCCATAGATGATGCAGGGTATGTCGCTTTTAAAATTCTCCTTTGTAAAGTTTCATAGCGTTGCTGCAGTAATGCAAATTTTAAAAGCCTTTTGTCTGTCATATTAAACATAGACAAGAAAGGCAAGAATACTTTATAGTGTAAATAAGACTCGGTTGTGGTCATTTGATGTGTAGATTGCCTATCCATTTGATGGATGTTGCATGTCAGCTCCTCATGTGAGCCCAAGTGATGCGGGATGAACTGGCCTATTGCCTGTTAGGCCAGGTGGCAGTGGGCTGGCTCCTGTCACTACTGCACCAGCTCTGTCACTCTTCTCCAGATGTTCAGTGACTTCTGCAATGGCCATGAGAGCGTACACGTCCTGGAGGAACTACCAACAGTCAGGTCATTGGTGCACTGATGGATACGTACTGATGTTGTAATTGAATGTATTCAATTCTTTGAGCGAAAAAAAGTTGGATCTTATCAACATTGGTAATAAGTAGACATTGGACAGTCCATGTTAAAAGCGTAACACAGTGTTAACTGATCTATTATAGAACATGCATGACTTTTGGTGCGAGAATTTTGCATAAAACTATTAAGAGTGAGCAGGTTTTTGAGTTTGTTTTCAAGGTTTCCCGAGGTCAGGTTGAGATATGAGGAGCTCAATGGGAAAAATTCCTGGTGAATATATATATTTTTTTAATTCCTTGATTCTAGGGATGTGAGGTAATGAGTATTCTGCTATCGGAGGACACGAGGGGGTACAGAATCAATGTTGAAGTCAGATAAATAGGACAGTGCAAGGCTGTGTAATGATTTGTTCATTAGACGAAACACTTTGAAGAACAAATGTTACCTGAATGTGGGGCTGTGAAGGAAAGGGAGCTCCAGGTGGCTTTAAGGTGATTAAAACTTATAGCTGTAGTGAAGATTCTGGTAGCCGCATTTTGGAAGTTTGAATGCTGTATTTTGGAAGGCCAGAAAACAGTGGTACAATTCTACACTGTAGACATGTTTGAGGACTGCTGGGAATGCTGATGCCACGTCTTTGTAGAGTTGGCAAAATGAGCCGACTTGGATCTGTCGATGTAAGCTGTCCATGTTTCCCATAGAGCTCATCATGTTGTTTATGCGACAGCGCTGTAATAGCTAGTGTAAGCTGTCACGAGTAAACAAAACACGCTGAATAAGCTGTACAGGCCGAGACCCTTTTAGTGCTGTATTTCTGTATCTTAGCTGTTTGTTTGTGCATTTTGGCTCATCATGATATGGTGAAGGTGGCACGAGACCTGCGCACTGCAGGGCCGGAAACTGCTGTGTGATGTCTTGTGTTTGCAACAGTCGTCAGTTTGGCACAATCTGAAACCCCTTTCAGACATGGACTTGGCTGAATTCAGGATTTTTTTTTTTGTCAGTTGATGACTTAAATATTAAATATATAAATATTTGTTATGAGTTAATTCAGACATGACAGGACAGTTACTGTACTGTAAGAGCCACAATTCTCGGGAGGGGAGCGGTGGCACTGGTGAGAAGGGCAATTAACTGGAGAGTAATATGAAGGAGTATGAAAGGGTGTTCTCGGTTCTTTCACAGGGTGCCATCGCTGATAGACTTTAAAAACTTATTTTGCTGTTGCAGCCATAATTAATGACCATTGTGAGCATGCGGGAGGCTCACCTGAATTTCCTAATAAATTTGCTCATCAATTTCTTCATTCATGAGAGATTTCTGCTGCCTAGCCTGTTTTATAATGCCAGACAAGGCACAAACACAGGATGAACGGAAGTGAGTGTAAAATAGAGTACTGTATGGGTTGTTTTTGTTTGTTCCTCAACATTGTAAAATTGGCTTATTCACGGTGTCTCATTAGATTGATTTTATTTTCTATAAGCTAGGGTGATGGTAATTAAGTGATAGATTTATGTATGTATTTATATTTGGGCAAATATGTGAGTGTTTAATCTGTGTCTAACCTTATGTTGCTGCAGCTGTCATGTTAATCCGATGGCATTCACTTCAGACTTGTGCTACTGTGAAAGTGTTACAGGAATGTTACCAGGTCCAACCGTGTAGGATTGCTGTTGTGACTTACGTAAAAGTGACACAGGCACATGAGACCAACCTGTAAAATGATGTCCCATTTACTGTATATAAGGAGATTTATGTCTGAAAGGGGCTTTAGGAAACCACCCCAACAATATACGAATGTGTGTATTTTCAGATGTAAGATTGCCCTGGATTTTACTGCTTTCGCTCCCCTCCTCCCCTCTCCGTATCTTGCCAGCGCAGGTGTGAGAGGGGCACACATTTTCTAGGCCTGGTGTCGGGATAAGCCTCCCATATGTCAGTCCTAATTTTAAAGCAAACCTTGCTTCCTATCATTTCATTATCTCTTCCTTAGCCGAGACGCCAGATAGTGTGCAAACAGAAAGGTGTAATAAATATTCTTCCTTTCTCTATTTCCTTGCTTGTTTTTAGATACTTATTGTCTTCTGTCGTGAACCCTTTTTCTTGTTTCTTTCCCACCTCTACTTCTTTACCTCATTTACCCCCTTCTTTCATCTTCTTTCATCATCATGCTTTCCCTCTGTATTTTCTTCTGTTCCTCCCCCTCTCTCTTTTATGCTCCGCCCTTTTCGTATAAATTTTAGCAGATGGGTCAGAGTGGGAGTTATTGAATTGTAATGATTGAAGTTAGGAAGAGAGAACAGCTCACTTGTTATTAAGTTGAACTAGGGCAGTTATATTTTATTTGAGCTAGAGTATGACATACACACAACCATACATTTCATTCCGTGCCCTCCATGTTTATCACTCATCACTTGGGCAGTCTTGCCATTTACGTTAATGTCAGCATTCAGTTTATGCCATCTGATGCCTGACTTTCTCCAGACACACTTATAGTACCATGAATGCATCTATATGTAACATGGGTGGCCCCAGGAGCAATCTAAGGTGTAACCCTGGAAAATGAAACCTGACCTTGGAAGATTTGGCATCATGTTCAATCTACTGATGGACTGGAGCCATCTTTTCAGTGTGAATCTAGCAGCAGACCAATATAATATGAGCAGACAGACCCACACTGGGGTAATTAGAGCCACTTTGCAGCTGACAGTTGTAACTCACTGTGTAGCCAGAGGGCCACACTGTGTTGTGTAACCCACACCATCTTTTAATCAGCTGAGTAACAGAAGAATATAAGTAATAATTTCCCAAGAGAGCAAGGGACCTTGATTTTGCCTGTGCCATCCACTTATGATCTCATGCCCCTTTCAGTGCATGCATAATTATTTATTATATCTTCTTTAAAAAATCGAATGTAAATTTTTTTTCATCACCTTCTGTTATTATAGCTACATCTTTACTACTCTGTTTCATTCTGTTAAATGTTCCAAACCAAAGTATGGAAATATGTGACGATAAATATTTATATTTGGCAAATACAGGATTAGAAGGAGCACCCGAATGAATGTATCATCAGATGCTGTCAGGCAAATAGAAGTTACATACTGGCATCTTTTCAACCATATTGAGCAAACTCGGTGTTGTTTTGTTTATTTTTTAATTTTTTCTAATTCTTTTATTATTATGCAAGCTGCATTATTCTGTAACATTGACAAGAAGGGGCAACTAGGGTTTTGCATAAATAAATCTCTAATGTCTATATACAGACAACCTTGTGCATCACCTGCATCTGCCTAAGTGGACAGGCCCCCATATTGATTTTCCGCAGATGTACAGAGCGAGTAAGCATTTGGGAATTTTTGCAATGTCCCTCATGTCAAAGAGCGCAGGTGACTGTTTAATTCAATCAATACATTATTTCTGTTCTTTTTATCTTTAAACCAATTAAAAATAGAAGGTCCAGCATCCAAGTGTGTCTGTTAAAACAGTGCCATCACTGATGTTTTTCCTCTGTGTCTTCTTCAATCTACCATTGTCTCTAGATGCAAGAAGCCCTTTCTGTTCTGTCTGACCTTGCGCCCTCTCAAGTTTCCTCGGCGCAACCTGCGTATCCTCAGGATCAAAGGCCACCCATGGAGAACCAAGGAAGCTATCGCAGCAGGGAGGCCCCGTCCTCCTCATCCTCCCACATTACCTCCAGAGGAGCAGACAGAGACAGAGAGAAAGACAGAGACAGAGACCGAGACCGAGAGAGAGACCGAGAGAGAGACCGAGACCGGGATAGAGATAGAGATAGAGATAGAGATAGAGACAGAGACAGAGACAGAGACAGAGATAGAGATAGAGACAGAGACAGAGATAGAGATAGAGACAGAGATAGAGACAGAGATAGAGATAGAGACAGGAACAAAGGGAGGGACAAAGAGAAAAAGAAGAAAAAACACAAGAGGAGGACAAGGTCCAGGTCAAAGAACAGACACTCCCTTCCCAGTGCCTACAGGAGAGCCCGCAGGTAAGACATTGTGGACACGGCAACATTCTCATTCACAACTGTCAGTGGAAGGGATTTAGAATCTCTATCCCACATTTATTTGATTTACATATTTTCTTTTCCTATATGATGACATTCACAATAGCATAAGTATCATGAAAAATATATGTTGGATATTGAAGAGATGTTAACTTTTCCGATTTAGTGAAAAAAATTAGCGCGCAGCTGTCAAGTTCAGATCTTTATTGGCCTGTGCTGCTGCTCGCTACAGACACAGCACCCTGGAAGGAGTACTTTTAATAACTTCTATTGTTCTATTTTGTTATTGTGGTTTTATTTGTTTTATTTTTTCAGCCTTAATACAGGAAAAAAAATCCTTTGTGGGAAAGTAAAGATATGAACTGAAGAGGAGGATGTTAGTTTTTTTTTTTACATGTCCTCAATCTTAGTGTTCTCCTGTTTTGCATAAGTTTGACTGGTGTGCACCAAAAAACAAAATTATCTTTTCAGGAAAAAAGAATCACAACCTTTCTAGATTTGGATCTTTATGGGGATTCATCAGTTAATGTAACCATGCAAATGTCTATTTAAATATTACTGACAGTGCTGCATGTAAACCTAACCAAATACCCACTAACTTGAAACAGTAGTTGTTGTGTTCTAAAGTAAAAATCCATTATTGATAGAAATCATGACTAGGCTTTCAATATCTCCACAAACAATAAACAATATTAATTTCCTACCTGAAGAAGCCCCTCAGTGATCGCTATCCCTGCTGTTAATGGTATGAGACATGAGACAATGATTAATCACCCTCTGTTTTATATCCCACCTCATCTGAACCTTTAGTGCATAGCGCACTGCAAAAATATTAATAGAAAATAAATCTATCCTTCTGTCCCTTCCCTTGTTTCTCTATTTGCATTTGTGCTTTCTTTCATTTTTCCTGCCTCTCTTGAAATAGGAAGAAAAAGAGGATAAAAGTGAGATGAATAAAAGCAAGAAACATAGGCGATAAGGAGAAAGAACAGGGGAGAAGGGAGGAATAAAGAATGTATAAGAAAGAGTATTTGAAGAAAGAATTAAAACGGGTTAAGGGTTGAGTGGAGGTGATCAAAGGTAGAGATTGGGCTGCTTTGTTTGTGCTGTTTATCTGTCAGGTTAAAGTGAACAATATTGACCAGACAGCTTTGTTTTGCTGCCCTGCGCTGGATGACATTATGTTGGCTGGCCTTTCCTTTCTGGCTGTTTTTAGAAAAATGGTCTAATTTCCTTTTCTAACCCTGGCTATTTCATGTTTGTAAATGACATGCATGCTCTGCATATGAACCAGTGGGAGAAAATGAATTAAGTTGTGCCTTTTTATGGAAAGAAACCTGAGAAGTGCATTCATCTCGTATATTATCTTTTAATATTTAATGCTGTTTTCTTTTCAGGCTCGTTTAGAAAAACAGTATTTGCATATTGAGTGTCCATGTGATATAATGTTTATTAAAGTAATTCACAGAATTATGATTAATACTTTTGTCCTGTGGCCTAGTTGCATTGTACTTAGTCTCTCTTTAACTGTCTTAATGTAAATTGTGTAACATTCAGGTCTAATGGAACATTATTCAAACCTTGTTCAAGCTCTCATTGACCCTTCTTGGTTTTAAGCTACTTGAAAGTTCTCTCAGTTACTCTTTCTCTTGCACATCAGCTCATCTTCCCAGCTCTGGCTTTTGTATTTTAATGGCTTCTTCCCATCTCACACTTTCTTTGTCCTCCTTGTCTTGCCAGATCCCGTTCACACTCCCCAGGGAGAAGGGACAGGAGGGGTAACTCATCAGAGAGGAGACGTGAAGAGAGAGAGCGGGAGCGCCATCATCCCAGCAGCAGTTCCAACCTGCCCAGGGGGCATTCAAGATCCAGGTAAACCTAACAGCAGGTGTCATCAGATCAGTCTGTGGCAAGAGAAGGTGCCATGGGTCTTCATATAGCTCTGTTCATTTTAACACTGAAAATATTGATTAGTACACCAGTCGAAGCAGAGAGGGGCACTAACACTGCCACAGCTCGGTGCTGAGTCTTAAATCTTTGATATTTTTCTTTAGTTTATAACTAAAATAATGGGAAATCTTAACATTTGCTTTGTGTGTATCTACTATTGAGCAATGTTTTAATCCCCAATTGACCACAGAGGGAAGCTGCAATGGATAGCTTTCACTTGCATGAATTTAAATTAAGGCTTTGCTGAATACGAAAAGCCCTGCCTTCAGAAAGTAATCCACCCCCTTGATATTTTGTGTATTGTGTGATATCACTGTCTGAATCTGAAATTTTTTAACTGCTGCTATTCCCTTCTTGCTTTTGTCTTCCAGGTCCCCTCCTGAAAAAAGGAGGAACTCCTTGTCATCCTCAGGACAGATGCAAACTGTGGGTTCCTCTCTCTCTCCATATTCTTCACCTGGCAGAGTTTTGTCCCCATCAGCTAGCCCTGCCTCCAGCCTTGCCCACTCCAGGTAACTATCTACAACCTGTCAATCAACCAGCTAAGCATTTAGATTGCTGTCCCAGGCGTAACTGAAAGTCTCTTCCCCTAAGAAACAAAAGATCGTTGGGAGAGCTTGGGTGTAAAGCTAACAAATGAAACATTTATACAATTTACACTTCTTGCCTTTTAAATGTGTGTTATTTAGACCAATAGATTGCTGCCTCCAGGCCTGTGAAGCTTCTGTCTCTCATGAACCAAAAGGAATCACAAATATACAACTGCATCTAACAGTTCAGTACTTCAGCAGATGGCTGTTATAGCAACCTGTCAAACTGTACTGATTCACACAAAGGCCAAACTGAAGATATGTCCAATTAATATCCTCTCTTTGAAGGTTTTTGACAAACACTAACTCTTGCTCAAAACATGTTTCTCCTGTTATTTTATCATCTCATGGAAAGAATCACTAAACCCCTCCCCTGACAGCAATTGTCCAATCATAGCTTAGGATCTGTAACTAGGCGCCCACAGGCCTGTGAAGCTATGGATTTTTCACAAGTTCTTCACAAGTGTTCATGAGGCTGTAGTGACAACGATTTAAGGAAGTCTGGGGGTGGGTGGGTTGGGTGTTTAGTAACAAAACAGCTCTTTCCTGCCCTGTTTTTTTTTAAAGCCTCAGTCTTTTAGCATGACTTTTAGTATATAGCCATCATATTTAAGACCATTTTTAAAGGATTCTCCTTTTAAAATGATTAGCTGGAAAATTAAATCCAGCCAGAGAGGCAGTAGTCTTGAAGTTTGTTTCCATATGTAATATGACATCATTATAAACCACAGTCTCATTAAAAAGATGTGTAGAAAACAACTGTAAAACCCGCTTTGTGAATATGAAATTGGGTAAAACAAAGCATGGGTCTTGTTTAAATTATAAATCCAGTATGGATGGAAGATACTACATTGAATCTAAAGAGGCAGTGATAAGATGGCTCAGACCCAACATCTTTCAGCTTTAAGGTCTTAAGCCACGAAGGCATTCATGGAAACGGACATAATCTCTTCTAATATCTAGGGCTTGTTGGTTTGCTGTTTAAAATATCTCCAACAAAGAAACAATTATAGCTGCATGCATTAACTTTTGGATGTAGAGCCACATGGACAACAAAATAAACTCACAGCTAAATCATTCCCCACCCTCCCCTCCCTGTCCTCAGACAAAACGCACATCCATTGTAGGAGGGCAAGCACCAGACCATTACGAATGAAAACAGAATATTCCCTTTGTATGTAGCAACAAAGAAATCACTGTCATGTGTGCCAACATGACAAGTGAAATGGTACCTAGTTTACTGAAGCAGATTAGGTGAAATTAATTATTTTTGAGTCAAAGTCACTTTTATCTTAAGCTCATTTTTTTTTCCTAATATAATAGAATATTTTCAGACAGAAGCTTTTATTGTGCCTCCAGACTGGTGACAGACATAACCTGAGGTATTATGTTCTCGTTACGTCTCTCCCATTCTCATGAATATTGGACTCAAATGAACTGATCAGATTGTGGTGGTGAAGGTCAAGTTGGTAGAGATGGTATCGAACATTCACTTCTACGTTCGTAAGGAACCAAATCAAAGACACGGGACGACAGGACCATTAATACTGAATTGGCCGATTTTTATTCTTCAGAAAACGGAGAGTACAAAGTAAAAATCTGACATGCAAAGGATCCACGATACCTCGTTTCCAACATGTTCTTTAAACTCTTTCACTCCATGGTCCTCCTGAGGGTTTGCAAGTTACGCAGAATTGTCTGACTGGTCTAATACTAAAATATTGCTGAGTCACCACTACAGTGGTAGCCAGGGAAACACCTGCATGCTGGTACAATAGTGTACTTGCCTCCACTATCCCTAGCTAACATTTGAAAGGTAACAGATTTGCTTCCTCTGCAGGTGAAGATGATTTTTCTCTTCACGACTCTGTGCGCACTTATGAATAAATGTCCCATGTCTATCGACCTATATGTAATATGCTTTATTGAATACATATCTGACCAAATGTTGGATATCAACAATTATCAATAATCATTATATCCAATAGTTCAAAGGTCAACTTTAATTTGACAGCCTCATGTTCTACTAAAACTGACCTTTTATGGCCATTATTCAAAGCTGTAACTCAGGAACAGAAAGGGGAGATTGTAAGCATACTTCCTGCAACTTGATTGGTCTAAGGAGATATACAACTGCAAGGTCTGTCTTTTCAGAGAGGTTCAATTATTATCATTCCTAGGGGAGATTAGCATGTTTGTCAATTCACTTTTGTTATCAAAAGTTCTGCATCGCTGATAAACTGTGTGTGTATGGATGGAGCTGGTTTGCGTGACTTTGGGTTTTGCTGTTTACTTTCCACAAGGGATGGAGCTCGAGCAGCATCCCAAAATAATCACAAGGTACATATGTAAAGAGATGTAATTCCCAAGAATGACAGACATGCACAGACACACACATTTTCTCCACGGACTGAAGCCTAAAAACTTTGTAACATCAGCAGAGGTCTTTTCTGCAATTTCTTGTCACCTGTTGTGTTCAATCAACTTGATGCACACAACTTTTTCTATTTTAAAAATCCCTTGATAAATTATGAAATGTTAGACGGCAGAGAGATTAAAAGCTTTGGACAGAGTCGTGAATTTGAATTTGAGGCCTACAATTTTGGCACTTTTGATGTTTGTCTGCATGGTTATACACTTGGCTGCATTTGATAATGTTGACGTTGCACTTTTGGTTTGGTTTGGATATTTTCGTTTCTACAGGTCACATTTCTCTTTCAGGTCTCTGACGTTTCCCTCTCCTCTGCTTTCTACTGCTCTCAATGCCTGTCCAACTTTGAACATTTCAGAAGATATCATGAATATTGTATATGCTCTCCTGTTAACATGATTGGTTTTCTGCCTCCCTCTCTTTCTTTGTTTCCCCCTCTCTCTCTCTCCCTCTCTTCTCTCCACAGGGGTGGTTCTCAGGAGAAAGACAAGGCAGTGTCCTCTTCCATAGTAACGTCTGTTCAGTCCAAAATAACTCAGGTATTGTTCTTTGCTTTTATCCCAGATATGTCCTCTGCTGAACTTTACAGCTTACCCAGGACAGGCACTGAGTGTTGTTCTGTTTCCACCATGCAAATGGGAAGGACAGAAAGTACTGTTCATTTTCCCACACAAAAAATATAGCCTAGTTAAATATAGTCTGGTTAAGTAACATTTCTCTGGAAATGTCATTTGGATTCATTTTTTATTCGTCCTACATATTCAGCTTTATCTATGGTATGTTTGTACAATACATCCATGCTATATATTTTAATACACTTGATTTGTTAGAACCATGAAGAACCAGTCTTATCTTTATATGTTGGGATTCTCTGATCGCAGTAAATTGATGTAGCTGTACATATTTCTCATCTGTTACCTAAAGTCATTTTCTGTCACACAGATGGAGGCCACTGAAGGGTGTGTGTGCATTTGTGTGTATGAAGTTGCATCCTGTATTCACTAGTATAGTCTAATCTATACTAGTATAGAGTATAATCTGATGCATTACAGCTGCAGAAAAACAGCATCTGTGAGTGTCAGCTTGACAGTTCATTGTTGAACTGGGAATTGTTGACGAAATGATCTCAACTCCAGGTCCACCTACTTGTTTTGGAGCTATTGACTGTAACACATGGTCCTCATCAGCAGATTGACTTTGCCATGGAACTTTAAATCCTCACCTCTAGGATTTGTCATCCATGTTATCTTAAAAGTTGAACTTGACGTTTCACTCTCAACCTCAAAAACAGTAGCCATCAGAATAATCTGATGGGGATTGTGTTATTTGGTCAAAAGTCCTCCCCCAAGTGAGCAAATGGACGTTGAGTTGATTTGTCAAAGGTCTCTGTGATACACTTTAGTTCTGGCTGTGCTGTGTTGAATGGCATTATTTAAGTGGTTCTGGTATTTTGTCTTCCTCCACAGAGGTGATATCAATGCTATATTAGCCAAATGATGCTATTGTGACACACAGAAGTTTGCGTGCTAACAACTGTAGTAACTCATCCTGGCTGAAATTGCACTTCCACCCCCTGCACTCTTTCTGGGAATGAAGCCAAGAATTCTGAAGGAGAAAAGCTAAATATTGTTTGATGCCAGTTGGGCGACAGGAAAAAGTGGAGGCCGTGGCATACCTGCCCCTGACTACACAAACTATCTTTATTTCGCCTCTCTTCTGAGGAAGGATGCAGAGCTCGTGTGCTCCCCTGAAACTGTTTGTTGTCCGGCACTTGTAAATTCAGACAAGAAGAGGAGTTACCACTTTTACTGAGGTTAGTTTTAATTAGAGGTTTGCCAAAAACTATAATCTATTAAGTCAGCCTCTCCTTTTCACAGAAGTCAATCCTCATGTGAGACATTAGGTTAGAAAAAGTTTCAGAGTTTTCTTAATGTAGATTTAGCCTCCTCAACTGCCACTGCCACTGTCTGTCCACAGTTTTGTTTTTTTTCTAATGTGATCTTAATTGTCGGTAATCGATATTTGTATAATATCAGTGCATCAAATAACAGCTGAATCACCTGAATCTGGGGCTCCCCTCAGCTGTACAGAGCTTTATAGCGAGTTTCATCTTATTGTTTGGCTGACTGACCAGCAACTTCACAGTTTCGGTTCACTCCCAATACTTTCATATTCATGTTCGGTCACAGCAGGCAGCTGTTTTCAGCAAAAAAAATCTCTCGAAACACGACACCAAAAGTCCGACAGACATAGTTAGCGACTAGATGGTGAACATAGTGATGCATTTAGCAGCGCAAGAGCCAGATATTTCCCTCAGGAGTTGGTAGAGACCAAAATGAGAGCTTAAAGAGAAGGAATCATGGTTGGTGGCTAAATAATCAGCTGTTTGCTGACATGATATAAACTTAAAAGTGGATGATATCAGTGTTGTTCTCACAGTTACTACTGCCCCTAAGGTGGCCAAAAAAGCAGTTACTGCAGGTTTAACACAGCATGTGGAAATAGCATTTCGACTGGATGCCTGCCACTGTTGCCAAGGGCTTAAAGATAGCAAAGACACTTCCATCCGTAAAATCATACAATCAGTCATACACTAGGCTCTGTATGCAGCCACTCTCTGACAGTTGTCTATACCAGCTGTCAGAATGACACTGCTGAAGTCATGCAACAATTGCACTTGCATTTAACGCTAATTGAATGTTACACTTGCATAAAGTGTTTTTTGTATTCTTTCTGACACTGACAGACTTGTTAGGGTGGCACAGAATTGGAGTCAGCGATCCTTAACTTTTCTGCACAAGACAATGGCAGCTAGAATTTCCCCAAATGAAAATGCTATTAGCCCCCCCCCCCTTTCATTTTGTGAATGACAAATTACATTGTGGACCACCAAATATTACAATATTTGTTGTCACACATCATTCCAAATCCATGGGCATCAATACACTGTAATAACAGCCTCCACTCCTTATGAGAAGGCTTTTGATTTCAGAACCTGGCTGCAGAGGTTTGCTCCCATTCAGCCACGAGAGCACTAGTGAGGCTACTGATAGTGGGCGATGAGGTCTCGTTCATGGTCAGTGTTTCAAAATTAATTTTAAAAGGTGTTTAATGGGGTTGAGGATGTTAAAACAGGAGGGTCTAACCCAAACTGTCTATTGTCTAAAGTATCACTGTATGATGTAGAATTACTGGGCTGTGCTCAAACCATGAAAAACAGCCCCCCAAAATAGACAAAAGTGTATAATTGTTTCCACATACTTTTAGCTATATAGCCTAATGACTTGGTTTACAGTTTAAATGCAGTTAAGTGGTGGGCTTTGTCTTTGTTTTGTTTTACTATGGAACACTATGTTCCCCATTTGGGTATTAAGAGCTCACAATAAAGGGAATACTGTGTCTGAATAAATGGTACACACTCATTAGTTTCAATGTAACCTCCCACACACCTCGTCAATAAATTCTGACCCCCCCCGGTACACATTCTTCCTGCTCCACCCTGGCTGGTTGCAATCGCACTGTGCAATTTATCGCCACTCTCAGAAATGCACCACAATCAAATGCATGCACACGCCCTGGTTCTAAAAGAAAAATATGCGGTCAAAAGCTATAAATTAAATGTATTGAAGGAAGGCATAAATAGTGGCAAGACCACTACAATCGTGCTCGTCTTTAATTTTCTTTATAGGAGTTTTGTGTCACTGTACTCTCACCTCACTTTGCAAGGCAATGCTCAGTTCAGTCAGTCATTATTAAGGCCACAAATCACACACTGTTCAGTTCGCTGTTTTTTTATTATTATTATTCCTCTTTGTCTAACTTGCCTCTTTCCTCCTGTAATATTGTGATATACTGTTCATTTACCTAATTTTGACTGCTGTTGAAACATGGAGAAAACATCCCTGACAAATTTCAAAATCAATTACCTTCATTTGTCAAAAACCATAAATCAGTTCAGAGACGAAAAGCCATTTACACGGCTCTCTTGTGTTTAATAACTCTGAAATATCAGTTATTTCATTTGAAGTGATGCAGTATGTTGATGTATTAATTTTCACACCACCAGTGTGCAACTACATGTATGAATGTACTTAGTATGTAGGCATACACAGTAAATGTGAACTGTAAATTTACTGATTTACTGAGTGTAGAAGTTATACCTACAAGAACAAGCGTGACCCTGAATGTAGAGAGGCTGCAGGCAAAGAAGCTTTGGGACTCAAGATAATGGAGGTCAATAGAGTGTGAATGGAGAGGCTGTGCTGTGAACAGTGGTACAACTTATGCTGTGTCGCACCAAATTTGGATTGTATTCATTCTGTCTGTCTGTCTGTCTGTCTCAGAATGAGTTTCCAGTGTTTACCAACTAGCTGCACCACATATACACAACCACACGTCTCTTGACGCTTCTCTCTCATCAACAAAAACATCATATTTCTTTCTTTCTCATTATCTCACAAACAAACAAACAGACACAAGCTCCTCTCCTGCCTTCATCTCAACATGCCAACATAAGCGGGCTCATGAAAACATGCTGTTCGCCGCTGTTGCAACATGCACAGATTCACAACCACCAACTACTTATACCCCGTCTGTGATGTTTTACAAACACTTCTTGAATAATTCAGCACATCTTCATCTTCCTAATGGTTTCGTCTTTCCTGATGGTGCCTGGTTGCTATTTGCCTCATCCCGCCTCTCATTTTCCTAATGTTTGTCTTTGTTCCTCCGTCTTCTGCCCCCCCCTCCTTCTCTGCTATATGTTTGATGTGTTTTACTGCGTTTGATACATAATTTGTGCACGTTGAGAGTAGCTTTTAGACCCGCAGTGGGTCTGAAAAGAGAACAGTTGAGGGGGACTTCTCAGGCAAGTGTGAATATGTGTGTGTTGCATTGCTCAGGATATTCCTGACACTATATCAGTGTAATTAACGTTGCAATTAGCAGCGAATCTGTGAAATTTCTTCACAAGTCTGTGATGCAACTTGCTTTCAAACTTGTTAGGATTTTAAAATTCGTGTAATTTTAGCCTGGACTAAGACAACTTAAGTCCTCAGTAAGTCTTAGATGTGGGGTAGAAATTGCACAAATTACTCATGAGGTTAATTGTGTTTCCTTCTCGGGTCATCACTGGTGCCTGGGTCTCCATGATAAGTCCTTCCTTTTTACTGATTCTAAGGTTTTCCCACAACAATGAGTAAAGTTTTTTTTTTTTTTTTTGGTGGAAAGAGAAATCTCTCCCACGCAAAATAGCTTTGTTTGACCATGTAACTAACCCGCATGTTTGTGACTGAGAAGAGCAACACAATAGACAGATGGATCAGATAAGAACAATTTATACGAAAAATAAAGCCCAAAGAAAAAGAAACAGCAACAGCTTAAAAAATAAAACAGCAACTGCAAAGGATTATGTCCTCAGTGTTATTGCGACTTTAAACTCATATTGCTTAAGGTTTTCAGGTTGATTTAGCACCAACTGTGATAAGTGGCGGTAACAGCAAGTGTGGTTTAATGCTGGGTGCAGCAAACATTCTTTAAGCAGCTACTTTGTCAAAAACACAACAGAGGAGCAACTGGTGTAGCTGTTTGCAGTGCAGCCAAACAAATTCCATTGTTTTATTGCAGAAGTCAGTCAATAATTTGCCTTTTTCCATCACGCTGTGAACAATCACAATCTGATTTCATGCTGCAGCTCTTCATCTAACAGTTCACTGTGGCTGCTCCTTCTTGTTCCATTACTTCCTGAATTAATTAAAGCTGATGTGCTGTCAAAAAAAATGCCCAAAATGACCATCATCTTGTGTTGTAGGTAGATTCTTCAGCAGCTGCTGTCAGCGCTAACCTCAGTGGCAGTTACTTATGACTGTCTCACATTAAAAGCTACCCTGTGTTTTGTAAATGCTTTTGATGTGACCTAGGAGCAGTAGAAAGTGTTACAGTAACTTCATACAGCTTTAGGAGAGTAGAAAGCGAAGCTGATGTCAAGAAGATGAAAAAAAATTACAAACAGTAATTTTGTATTGCATATATGAATTGTTTCCAGTGAATACTCCATTGGTAGATGAATAATTTGAATCCAGGAATGGCAGACTCTGACACTAACAATCAAAACTATGATCAGAAACATATTTACAGAATGTAGATACATGCTGGCCTTGAATAGTTTCAAAAACAGTGTTAGATTTCATTAAAATGTTAAAGATTCTAACTTTTGAAGTATGGCTTTCGATTTGCATCACCATTTTTTAAAGATTCATCATAAACGTAAAAACCAGTGTATCATCTCTTGAGTGACACCGCTGCAGACTTAAATACACAAAAGTTGTGAAAGATTAAAGATGCAGAGAAGAATCAGGTGCCTGTTGCCACGGGCCTCTCGCATCCAGCACTGAGTGAGATTTGTTCATTTCTAAGACGGGGTCAGTAATCTGGGTGTTCCTTTGAATTAATGACATAGTGAGTAAACATTCCAATTACAGGACCTCTGCGGGTGAAATATGGCCCTGCTCACTTACTGTGTAACAAATCAGTGTGGAGTATGTTATTTCTCAGGCAGCGGTGGGTTTGGGATATTAAATTGTATCAAACGTAGTCTTTTATTTATCTTTTATCACACGTTGAATGATGTAGAGAATATTTAGGCTATCATATGTATTTTTTAGTGGAATTCTTCATCCTTGTTCAGTATTATGTAACCATAGTTAGCTATCGCATTTTTTTTTTTTTGTCATATTTTCATGACAAGAATTCAACCGTTTGAGTTACTTTCCATTCAGTTGATAATAATTTGAAACATTGAAACATTTTGTGAACTCGTCTTTGTGTTATTTTTTCATTTTTTGTTTTTTTTTTTTTTGTTTTTTTTTATGTGTCTATTCAGATACACCAGGGTTTAGAGAGAAACAGCATTTTGAATGATTTGATATGACAGCTCCTTCCCCCTGTGATTACAGCTATTAATTTGTCTCATCTGTCAGGAGAGCTCAGGGGTGGATATTTGTCCACGCGTGTGTGAATCACTCTTGCAAAACAAATGAACACTTCCTTTTCTGCAATGCAAGCATTTGCCCCCTGGTCAGCAAAATTTACATTTCTACCTGACAAGGGAGGGAAAGGAAAGTGAAAGCTCAAAAATTGCATTTTAGAATCTTCTTACTCCACACTCCCTACTATTTCCCTGTTGAGTTCTACTCATTTTTGGAACTGCAGCTTTCTACAAATGACACTATTTTCCCTATCATTGACTTATTCATATACTGTAATACATTTTATGTCATCCAATGAGCAGGTCGGCTGCTAAAACTGAGGATAAGCTGCCTGTAGCAAGAATTTTGGAGAGGAGGTCATTTGTGTTCTTACTGGATATTTTCTGTACATATACTATGTCACTTTAAAAGATGTATGCAGGAATTCATGGTGGTGACGAAAGCAAAACATCTTAAACAAAACAAAGACCTAAAGGCATCTAGAAGCTGGAAAGAACTCCAGATAACTCCAGGGAGCTTATTCTCAGTGGGAGCAGCATTATTAACAGCTCTTTGACAGTAAGAGAATAGTAAAGTATCTGTCAATTATTTCAAAATGAGATCAAAGCTCACTGCTTTTCCCTTTAGAATGTCAATGCACTGTGTTGCTCTCCAGCACAGTTGTTGTTTCTAGATCAAGTATACTTTATCATAGCTGTTCTTTATTGTTGTTGGAAAGGAATCAATAGATGGGTTTAAGTTGAACCAAAACATAGAGAACCATTATCAGTTTGTGCAGAATTTCAAGCCATTGCTGGCTTCAACAACACACACAATCTGATGTAAATATCCCTCAGGCCCTCATCACATTGGCAGCCGCTGTTGCAGTCATTGGTACTGCTATAGCCTCAGGTGTATATCAGTCTTGTCAGCTCTTACACCCTCATTCCCCACACCCATGATGCATGAATCCAAGTGCCCTACATTATGTTTTAAGTTTATTCTCAATTATCTGTTGACAGATACAACGTGTGGAGATGTGTCTTACATTAAACTCATCTGTCTCTCCTGTGTTTTCAGGATCTGATGGCCAAAGTGCGAGCCATGCTTGCCACCTCCAAGACCTTCCAACCTCCCAATTCCTAAAGAGGGCACGGGTTTCTACTAGTCGTGACAGCCTCGGCCAATCAGCGAGCAGCATTCTCCGATTTCCTGGAGATCTATCTGATCTGGATCTGTAACCCTGTGTTCCTTGATTTATTATTTCATCTTGATTTGAGCATCAACAGATTCACTTTGGCCACATTATGTCATCAGCAGAATTTTAAGAGTGGAGTAAAGGCACTAATTACTGACCTGAGAAAACAGTTCATCAGCTGGGAGATCATGTCGACAGTTGACAAATTTTGGTGCAGGGAGACTGAAATGTGGAAATAATCCATATGTTATTTTGCATCCTGTTTTAAGACACCCTACTTATCTCCCACGTCATTCTGTGCAGCATTACCAAAAGCTACAGGAGGTCTGTATTCTCTCCTTCTATGAAGGGTTGTGTTGTTTTGATAATTTCATTTCTCTCCTCCCTCAACTGGTATTCTCCACTGTTTCCCTTTTTATTTCCTCCCCCAGCTTTTCTCTCCAGCACCTCACCCATCTACTTGAGAAGCTGTTTTAATTTTTTACTCTGTCCCTCAGCTCTAGTGCGTGGCCTTCTATTTCTGTTCCTGGTTTGTACTGTAAGGAATTTAATGCAGAACTACTTTCTAATCCAAACTGTCAATAAAGTTTCAATTATGATTTACTTGTGCTTTTACAACAGTTTTCTTCATCGTCTTCTTCACCTTCATGCACTTTTTTGTGTCATAGTGGAGTTCAAATATCAGCAACAGACTCAAACACCCCCCCACCCCGCCCTCACCCTGCGGGCCATGTCTTCACCGTCCTTCATTTGGGGTACACTGATAAGATGGAAAGAATTACGTTTACTGCCCCCAAACCTTCACCTCTATTTACTGTACAAAGTTTAGTGTCACTGCAGCATTGCCGATAAACCCAACAGACTTAACAGTTGATCGGCTGATATCCTCCAGGTGTCTGCTACTGCTACTGCTGCTGCCGCTGAGATGGCACTTGTGACCCAATGCACAGTTAAACACAGTGCACAGAAATTGTTAGTGGATTCCTGCTTGATGACCTCAGGCATAAGAGATTAAATGTTCAGAAAGATAACCCTTTTAAGGTCATACAGAGCCTCAAAGTAATCAATTAAATGCCAAAATCAATTCTGAAACAAGCAGGCAAACAGTGAAAAGACACTAAAAAAGACAAGAGATATAGTCCTTTCTCTTCAGTCTCATTTAAAGTTTTGCTACAGCATCCTGAACATACTGATGTCCTGTTTTTGGCTGCCGAGCACTGCAGCACTAGTGAGATAAAATCAATCCATCTATTTTTGTTTTACCAACTTAAGACCCTGTTCAGGGTCTAAAGGTATGTTGGGTCAGGGTTAGAGATTGGTGTCACCTCTCAGTGGGCTCAGTGTATTTACTGGGCTTCCATACTTTGTTAACTGTAAGACTCCAAAGTTCCTCCGAAGTGCTTCAGGTTGGTTTAGGACAGATATGATTGAAACGATACCCAGAGTCAATCACAAGGACATTTGTTATATTTTTGACACAAATTCCAACATTTGTGCTGGAACTGCTCAACTGCAAGGTACACTGCATCAGTTTCACCAAATACCAATAACGACTAATGTTTATGTCAACATGACAAAGTCTTAAAGAGACTGTGATAAAGCCACAAATTCATTAGAGGGATTAGTTTGGGAGCTGTTTGATTAACCAATAAAAATCAGACTTTAATGCAGAAGAGGCTGTTCATTTCCCATTTCTAGTTGACTGTCAACACTAAATTGTTTTAACAATGTATGGGATTGCTCCCTAACATGAACCAGGTAGTTATTATTGTAGCCATGATGACAAAGTCTCCCTAACCTTAGTGAAATAATTTTCTATCCTAATCCTATTAAAATGCTTAATCCCAACCAAACCTTAACCTCTTCTTCTGAGTTAGTAAAAGTAAAAAGTCTGTCATTTACTACAGAATACCAAAGAGTACTGAGGATGCAAGACGTCTCTGTCTCAAACCCTGGATGAGGCCCTAAGTTGTCACAACCCAACTCAAAGCTGGACAAAGCAGGGGGCATCATATATGAGTTTTAGCTAAAATCAGTTTATTTTGCATAAGTTAAAGAGGAAATGAACATAAAGACACATGGAAGAGAGGAAGTCTTGCTGACTGTTACCAGCTGATATAGCACTGCAGAATAAATAGCACAACAGCCTTCAGTGGAAATTGTCAGGAGCTTTGGGTCTCCCTCACATATGAACTAGCAATGGAAATAGTATATAAACTATTCAGTCTAAGAGAAGCAATGTGCTTCTCTCTTCACCACCTTTTATATACCATCACAAAACATCCCAACTGCTGCTGACCTGGAGGCTCTGCAAAGGGCACTTCAAACCTCCTCTCATCACAGCAATAGTCAATTCTCCCCTCCAACATCAGGAAAACTCTACAAAGACATTAGGACCCACACCACCAAAGTAAAGAGCTGCTTCAAGCCTCAGGCCTTGAGAATACTGACAAACATAAACAGCTGACACAAACGCAGTTTGCAGCTGATGTTCTTTTGTTTCCTCTGCATTATTTCCTTTCACCATATTGACTATTGTATCTACACTATGTACACAAGCATATGTTCATAGAGCAAAACCTGAACTCGTTTCTACCTCTAACAGCCCTAAGTTTGCTTTCTGTTCAATAATTAAACTCACATATTAATCAAGCTGTCAGTCCTCCCATGTCAATCAAAACACTTAAGTCACCACTGGATGGTTACAAAAAGATTGCTGCAAACACATCAAAGCTTAAGTCTGCTGCCTTGATGTGTTTTTAATGTGCATGGCAAAGGAGCTACCATGAACAAAAAAGAAACTAACCTTTATCACTATGGTTTCACTTTATCACAAGTAGAACCATTCAAATATGTTTTCTGACAACTCAGCCACTTTAATGGTTTAACTTGTGAATTTTGGTCCCATTACAGCACTCAGACTGGAAAAAAATTTCAGTCTGTATTCATCCTGATTTTAGTGTTGTCCAAACGGTGCTAGACAGAGTGGAAAATTGGGCTGGATTGGTTTCTTTTAAATTTGCTCAAGTCTTATCGAAAAAGGTAAAAGTACTTTGTCTCCACTGGCAACTACAGCAAGGGACACAACAACACAAACACCAGGGAAATATAATGAGTTCAATCCTGCTTGAGAATATGTCTGAGGGGTGTAGATTCAACCCAATGGTAGATGAAGTCTTGTATGAGATTGCAAATAACAGAAACACTACAACATAATACACACTAGTAAGATGTTTTGTTGAAGTAAAAACATAACAAGAAGCTTTTTGTGTGTTGGGTTGATCAATCATGAAAATTCACACTGGCTCTACCGTATACACATAGGCCTAGTGTTTTAATAATTTATATAAACCAGTTATTAAAATACATAACTCAAGTCAAATTGCAAATGTGATGATCACTCCACTGTGACTCAAAACTTTTGGTTTAGCCTGCCAATGCAATTCTGCAGTGGTCGATAAACCTAGCAGTTCATATAATACTAGCATTGTGTAAGGTCTAAAGCTATAGTTATCTCATAATTCACAACAATTAAATTCGAAGAAAATGAGTGCAGTTAAATGAAATTTGGAGTGGAGATTAAAGAGAACAGCTTCTTTCTCCATGAATGGGAGTCTGAATGTAAAGAACTGAATAATTATAATGGAATAATATTAGGTATAGCAACCTTGTGATAATTAATTCAAAGGTTAAAATCATTCATGACACAACTGATTAAATCCATTTTACAGATGAGGCTGATGGGGTGACATCTGACAGCCGACACCTCCACTGTGATCCTTACAATACATCTGCTGATCACTGTCATTCACATACAGTAAACACACAAAGTGAGGATGGGAATAAGTGACATGCACAAGTAGAAGTTCAGTTATGTCAACATGATTAATATACTATACTATGCTGTGGAGAGTTGTGGGGTGAGCAGGCAGTGGGTGAGAATATGCGTTGGTCTATGCCTGATGGACCTGTCTTGACCCAGTTAGGTCCATGTTGCGGTAACAACTGTTTTTTTCTAATTATATAGTTTTATTACAACCACTATGTCTTTCATTTTCTGTGAATGTGGATGTATGTGGATGTGTGTGGGTGCTATGTAAGTGTATGTGTTGGTGTATTTGTTTGGAGGAATTAGATTGCCTCCGTGGTTTCATTTCAATTCCATAGCGTGTCTAATCTGGCAGCCAAGGGGTAGATTGGTCATAATATGTGACCCTCAGATATATGTATGTACCGTATAGTATATGTCGTATATATTCTTTGTCTTTAAGTAAATGCTGCAGGGGGGAGGAAGACATTTGTGCCTCCCACCAGGCAACAGTGCTGTGTCTGACCCACTCAGGAACCATACATACTGTACGATAGATTCAGTTTAGTTCTGCTGGTAATTTTTAGAGCTCTCACTATTTTTTCCTTCCTGCGTTTCTTCACTTTTAAGTGAGGGAGCTGAACATCTTACAGAAAAGGTCAAAACAGTACAGCAATACTAGTGCAAGCTGACAACAGTCTTACATTTGCCAGCACTTTTCTTTTGTGCAAGGGTTCTTTAGGGCAAGCTGAGAGATTCTTTATTGATTTCACTCTGGACTGCTAGATAACTGCAGACCTGTAAGTATTTTAGAGTAGGTCCAAGTGAAGGAACAAATCAGGTCCAAGTCATCAACTGAAGTATGACACTGATGTATGAGTCTCAAGTCAAGTTATAAGTCAAGTCTCAGGCCCCTCATGCACAGATGAAAGTAAATAAAGAAAAAAAAACATGTAAGAGGTACCATGTATGTACCCACCAGATTGCTGCACATCTTGTCACAATGACATAATATGGTAATTGCAACAACTGCAAAATGTATGTCAGACTTGTGAAGGCAGGCATGGCTACTAAAATAAACCTCTAAGCTTGTCAAACATTGGTCGAGTTTTTCAAAGATTGCTTTGTACTAAGTTCTTAAAAGAACTTAATAAGCAGCATTTCCACCAGCTGTCATAAACAAAACACCTGCTTTTACATCACTGATATTGCTACAGCCAGATTTGTAACAGCCTTGAATTTTTCAGTGCAGCAGCAGTTTTGATTTGATGTACTCCTCTGAAGACCCAAGACTATTATTTTTAAGCTTCTCCTATTGCATGACTATGAAGAAATCCCTTTGGTTAACATGGTCCTTTCTTATTAAGAGTGTGCTTCCATTATCACAGATTGGTCATTTTATCACATTTGGGTAAAGACCATGGATAATACAATGTTTCTTGTAATTCCTGGTTGGCATCACTTGCAATCTTCAGTGTGTTACAGAAATGAAGAGCAGCTCTATGAATAACAAAAAAGAGCACATGAATAAGGAATCTGCAAGCAATTGTTGGATTAATTTATAAATGTTGAACGTGGCCTCGGTGTTTGAAGTTGATCAGGTTTTACAGCAGATGAGTCCAAGTCAAGTCTCAGCTGTACAGCTTGGGGAAGGAAAACAAATGGGCAGCCTGCACTATGCTCTTGCTCATGCATGACAAGTTTCTTGGTGTATGACTGCACCAAACTTTGGTGAAGAACCTTCATCATAAATTTATGAGGTAAGAAA